ACCCTAACCCTAACCCTAACCCTAACCCTAACCCTAACCCTAACCCTAACCCTAACCCTAACCCTAACCCTAACCCTAACCCTAACCCTAACCCTAACCCTTGCGCCTGCCTTTCGGCATAGTAGAATGAAAAGTTGTTTTATATCTTTTGCTCTTCTGCTTCTCGCGTGAACTTCGTAACTGCTTCGACGATTAGCTATCCGGGGTATATAGTCCCTATGGTTGTGGCCGATATAGTGATCAGCTGCCCGGACTCCCTTACGACGACAAGGAACTATCGGGACCTTATGAACTAAGGCTACGACGTATTAGAGGGGAATCAACTAGGATTATTTCAAGATCTAAGGATCTCGAAATAGTGAGAATAGAGATCGAAGTAGGTGGGGGATATCGAAAAGGTGGTCGAAGGATATAAGGGTAGGCGAAAGATATAAGGGTAGTCGAAGGATATAAGGGTGGTCGAGTGGTGATAAGGGTAGTCGAATTATAGTGAGGGTAGTCGAGTAGTCGTGAGGGTAGTCGAAGAATATAAGGGTAGTCGAAGGATATAAGGGTAGTCGAAGGATATAAGGGTAGTCGAAGAATATAAGGGTAGTCGAAGAATATAAGGGTAGTCGAGTAGTGATGAGGGTAGTCGAGTAATAGTAAGGGTAGTCGAGTAGTGATGAGGGTAGTCGAGTAGTGGTGAGGGTGGTCGAGTAGTAGTGAGGGTGGTCGAGTAGTGGTGAGGGTAGTCGAGTAGTGGTGAGGGTAGTCGAGCGGTAGTGAGGGTGGTCGAGTAGTGGTGAGGGTGGTCGAGTGGTGGTGAGGGTGGTCGAGTAACTATGGTGAGGAGAGTCGACTTGGCGTGAGGGTAGTCGACTTAGCGTGAGGGTGGTCGAGTGGTGGTAAGGGTGGTCGAGTAGTGATAAGGGTAGTCGAGTGGTGGTGAGGGTGGTCGAGTGGTGGTGAGGGTGGTCGAGTAGTGGTGAGGGTAGTCGAGTAGTGGTGAGGGTGGTCGAGTAGTGGTGAGGGTGGTCGAGTAGTGGTGAGGGTAGTCGAGTAGTAGTCGAGGGGGTAGTTAAGGGTTCTCTAAAGTCGCAAATCGCTTATAAGTACTTATGGGTCGCCGCCGAAGAAATATCTAAGTTCGAAAAGTCGCGAGGTGATTTCCTATACCTATCTTCTCGCGACTTTTCGAACTTGTATATTTCTTCGGCGCCTTACTTCTAGATCGACTAATAATTTTCTTTAACGATAAAGTTTTATCGATATATAGGAGTGAGCCTAAAAAGGGTCGAGTATTAGTTTTAACTAAGGAAGGTTTAGAGTTATTGTCGGAAAGAAAATCTATTCGTAAGAGAGAGAAGAGATAATAAGGCGAGAGTAGTCGAGTCGAGAAGGACGGTAATGATGGTCGAGAGTCGAAGGGACGGCGGTCGAAAGTAAGTGAGGGGGGTCGACTTGGCGTAACGGGGGTCGAGTCTTGGCGGGAGGCGCCGACGGGACGGCGACGACGATAGCGGCCGCCCCTAACCGTCGACGACCCTACGCGTTAGAGGGGCGGTCCGTTGGACCCCTCGCCCTCCCTCGCCGTCGAGATAGTCGTCTCTCGATCGCGGCGTCCTCTAACCCTAGCGCGAATACTCTAGGTAGAGTAAAGGATCATAGCTAGTTAGCTATCGGAGATGAACACAATACGACGAGCGGCTCGGGCTCCACTAACTATAGTCCTCAAACGAATAGTGGCCCGGTGAACTATAACTTCAATATAGCTGGCCTTGGTCTCGGATCTTGTATTTATTTACTCCTAGCTTTACTATTTAGTACTATATTTCACCTCAACGCCGATAGACACATTACTAACACTGGCTCATTGCTAGCATCACCTAATTCACACCTAACTAGCCCTACGACCTACGATACCATCCCCTTTAGCCGGGATAGCTTTTTCGTCGAGCGCCCTATCCTAGATCTTATTCTGCAGCGAACCTCCGAACTAGGGACGCGTATCGGAGTTGTCGGGCTGGGAGGAGTAGGGTAAGACATTCTGCAATATCTGGTGAAGGCGAAAACTAAATTGGATAGGAAGTCGTAGCTGGCGATCGAATATGCCTATCGTATCCGAGACACATATCTAAAGCCATGGGTTTTCTGGGTACACGCGAGCAGTGCAGTAAGATTTGAAGAGAGTTATCGACAAATTGCCGCATATCTGCAACTGCCTGGGTGGAGCGAGCCCAAAATGGACGTTCTGAGGTTGGTGCACGCGTTCCTATCGGACGAGACCCACGGCCAGTGGAGGATGGTTGTGGACAATGCAGACACCGCCGAAGTCATGTTTGAGTCATCGCATGACGGGATGGACACCAATATAACAACACCGCCGACAGAACTCTCACTGTCCGAATACCTTCCGCGGTCTGCTAAAGGGTCAATCCTGATTACATCTCGCAGCCGAGATGTTCTGGAGGGGATGGATGTGCCTTGTGAGAACATTTTGGAAATTGGACCAATGGGGTTGGAGGAAGCACAAACCCTGCTCACAAGGAAGCTGAAAAACGCTGGATCTGGGGCGAATGCTGACGATATAGCTTAGTTGGTACGAAAGTTGGACTACATGCCATTGGCGATCACGCAGGCGGCTGCATACATCAACCAACGAGCACCACGAATCGACTTGTCTTGGTACATTGAGATGTTACAGAAGGATAACAGCGAACGGAGCAGACTTCTACAGAAACATATTTCAGATCCTCGACGAGATAGGAAGGCGTCTAATTCGATCATCATAACGTGGTACACGACCTTTGATTATCTGCTTTAGACCCAGGAATCGGCCACCCATCTGCTTGCATTAATGAGTATGTTCGACCGCGAGGCCATTCCTGATTACCTCCTTCGGGGGCAATATACTAGTGCTCATGACAGTGAAATCGGCTTTGAGGATGATCTTGCGACTTTGAGAGCGTACAATCTAATCGGTATCGACATGAAAAATCATTTATTCAATATGCACTCGCTCGTACAGCTCTCTACGAGAACATGGCTTGAGATACATAAAGGAGGCCTTGAAAGGTGGCAAGAGCGATATATTGAGGTCATGGGTGCGGCTTTTCCCGAGGCGAATTACGATAACTAGTCAACGTGTTAGGCACTGTTTCCCTATGTACAGACTATATCGACGTACAGAGTGTCAAGTGATCACCTTTAGATATAGGCGAAAGTGTTGTTTAAGGCAAGTTATTTTGCGATGGACCATGGCCAATATAGGGTGGCGGAGGCAATGGTTCGAAAAAGTCTAGAGGTACGAGATGAGATCTTTGGACGAGAGGATAGTACGACTTTAGACGGCATAAACATTTTGGCACTAGTGCTACAAATTCAAGGGAAGTATAAGGAGGCAGAGTCGATAAATCGACGGGCACTCGCGGTAAGGGAGAAGATGCTAGGGGTATACTATCCCGATATGTTGACGAGTGTAAACAATTTGGTAGCGATACTATAATATTAGGGGAAGTACGAGGAGATAGAGTCGATAGGTCGACGAGTAGTAGCGATAAGAGGGAAGGTACTAGGGGTAGATTATTTCTCTATATTAACGAGTATACTAAATTTAGTATACGTACTATAATATTAGGGGAAGTACGAGTAGGTAGAATCGATGAATCGACGAGTACTAGAGGGGTATAAGAAGATACTAGGGATAGACTACCTAACTACGTTAACGAGTATAAATAATTTAGTAGTGGTACTATAATATTAAGAGAAGCACGAGGAGATAGAATCGAAGTTTCGACGGGCACTAAAGGGGTATAAGAAGGTCCTAGGGGTAGACTATCCCACTACGTTAGCGATTATGAATAATTTAGTAGCGGTACTATAATATTAGGGGAAGTACGAGAAGGTAGAGTCGATAGGTCGACGAGTACTAGTAGGTAGTGAGAAGGTACTAAGGGTAGATTATCCCACTATATTAATAAGTATAAATAATTTAGTATTAGTACTATAATATTAAGGGAAGTACGAGTAGATAGAATCGATAAATCGACGAGCATTAGCGGAAAGAGAGAAAATACTAGGGGTAGACTATCTTACTATATTAACGAGTATAAATAATTTAGTAATGATACTATAATATTAGGGGAAGTATAAGGAGATAGAATCGATATATCGACGAGCACTAGTAAGTAGTGAGAAGATACTAGGGGTGGATTACCTCACTATATTAATGAGTGTGAATAATTTAGTAGTGGTACTACAATATTAGGAGAAGTACGAGGAGGTAGAATCGAAGTATCGACGGGCACTAGTAGGAAGATATAAGGTGCTGAGGGAGGACTATCCTAATACGTTAGCGAGCGTTTACTACCTCGCCTACCTACTTAGTAGAAAGTAGAGATATAGGTCGGCTTTAGATTCCTATTAACGTAGTATTTCTAGCTATACCGAGGTGCTCGGTAGCTATCTACTTATCGAATGCCTTAAATGGGATTGCGGCGAAACGAAGCGAGGTTAGTGGACGGTAAAAGAGGATGATAACTTCACACGATGGTGGCAATTAGGTAAGTCGTGGCCGTGGATCTTCGATTAGTTTCCCGAAGGGTCTTAAGCTACCGTGCGACTACGTTGGTTCGTGGTCCTAGCACTACGGAAGGAACTGGATACTAGGGTGGCTAGTTTAACGATAGCGCTAGATATGGCGATGTGTGTTATAAGTTGCTAGGAGCCAATGATAGGGACCAAAGGGTAGCAACTGCCGTTCCTAAGAGCGCAATAAAAACAGCTTCAAGATCATACAAGCTTAGTGGATATTCTCACTGTCCGCTGTCTCTATCCTCGAAATTTAGCATATCCTAAATATGAGAAAGGTTGTTTCAGCAATATGAGGACTATCTCCACGCGCAGCAGGGTGAGATGACTTGACCTTTGCTATTAGACAGCATGGCTCCAAATAAACAATACAAGTTAATACAATATTATTGGTGTAGGTCAGTCTTCGTCGAGTGAGTTGCTGTTTTGTGGCTTGCGTGGTAGTATTAAAAGCAAGGATATCGGCATGGTTTCTGCGCGAGTCAACCGGATCAACTACTCCGTATATAGTATCCGTACCGTTCTAAGGCCTGTGTCTTGTGTCCTTGCGCTGCAGTGCACAATTAATCCCCACTACAATCAGGGGCCAGAAGCGAATTAAGGCACGGAGTGGCCCCTACTCGGGCGAGAGAAACGGGCAATGTTTGCCGACGACTTTCTGCCTTTTGAGACCCGACCCAGCCTGGTGAGCAGGTCAAACGAGACGGCGCCAGAGAAAAGCCTTGATTACCGTGCCCACAAAGGGGAGTGTCCTTCTTGCTGTGGCTTTGCCTGTTACATGCGCATGGAGGATGGCAGTTTAGCCCTTGACATTTGATTTGGGTACGAAGCCATCACGAAAATCAGTTGTGAGGTACTCGGAAACTTTTCTATTTTGCTATAATAATAATAAAAACCATCTTGGCTAGAAATAGCTTAAATAGTCTTATATAGTGAAATCATATAGGGGTAGTGGAAATAACTAGGTAAAAACCTAGAAGAGAAATCTTAATTATATACAATCTTTTAGGCAGCAATGAGTAGAGTCTTAACCAAGGTATAGTTAAGTTTAGGTAAGCAACCTTAACTAGAAGAAATGCCAAGACGCACCTTAATGACTATTGAGTAGCTTATCATCTACCCCACCCATAATACTCATGGGATACGAAATCATAAACATAGATAATCCTCCCACTTGACATATATCCCATAAGGCCTCTTACAGTCGAGGCAATTCGTATACGAGCGAGGTAGCCAGGACAACCGGCTTGGGGCGGAAGGTCCGAGTGTGCTGGCCCTCCTTGGTTCCGTGTTGAACGGTGAGGTCCCAATCACCCGTGGAGCATTTTGCAAGGGCAGCAACGACGCTCGAGTCAGTCCATGTCCATGCGGTTCCCTCGAAGGCGCTTGCGTTACACTCGAGCCAGTCACCCATTTTCCCGGCCGGGGTCAACTTGGCCAGTGGTTCGGGAAGTAATGGTGGGGAAAGTGATCGGCCTCATGGAAAGTTGCGCCAATTGTCCCCAATACGGTGGTTGCGCTCGACGATGAGGGCGCTGACGCCGAGGACTTTGAAAGCAGCAGCAATGTAAAGGCCACTCACAATACTTAGCGTTGCAATACGACAAGAGCAACTCACCACTGACCCTCGATGTCGATTTCAGGTTCGACGTCTTCAAAATTGACATCCTCGATCCACTGGTTGTGCCAGGACTTGTCTCGGATCATGTGGCCATCTCCACTGGGCACCTCAGAATGACGGTTAAGGCTCTCGATGGTGGCATGCAATGTCCAGATCTTGGAGCCATCTCTGATCCTGACAAAAATCCAAGACGCCACTAGCACCGACGAGGTCCGTTTCACACGAGTACACGATCTGAAGCAAGGCAATATCTGCGTACGGCCGCTGGAATGAGGGCCCCGCTTCCACTACCTTGTAATTGCGTGTAGGGGTACGAGGGAAGAGGGCAGAAGCAGCCTCTTCGATATTCTTCGGAGTGTTGGAGGAACGATAGTCATAAATGAAAGCAGCCTTGGCCCTCTACAGCCCTGTTGCTATCCGGGTTTTCAGGTCTTGCCAACATCAGCAAACCGGTCCGACTCACCACTGCACAGCAGCATATCGGCATGTCCAATTTTGGTGCTTTTAGCCAACCAAAATCGAGATGCATCCTTCAAATCGTGTTAAGCACCTACTGTTACCTGTACTAAGGAGGCCGGCCATTCCAAAAACGAGCATGAGCAACCGGTGAGTGATAAATAACAATGACTCGACCTTATGCTCGTACGTTCTTGGATGGTCTTTCACTTTCGTCTCGTAGCTCATTACCATGCTTCGGACCAGTTGGAAGACCTGGGCAATAGCCGGGGTGGGCGTCTCGGTTTGGACTTGCGCTTGTGGCTCTTTCGCCAGCCGATCACCCCAAAACTTCGTCTGTCGTATATGTTCCGTGTTCTCGCTATCTACGCCTATGTACTGTGAGTTCCTTCATCGACCTCGCGCGCGTTGTGTTGGGCCGTAAGGATCGTCGTTGAGTTTGTGGTGTTGACGCGTCACGCGCACACGAGCGCGTTGGAGTCGGAGTAGTTGGAGTTGCTATCGATATGAATCACTATACCTTCGGTGGTAGAAGAGAAGTGAAAAGGAGAGATTGGAGCCTTCCAATCCAAAGTAGAGAGCTTCCATTGTCGCTATCTACACTAGTTCGTTCCTTGGTTTGCCTAGATAACTAAATGTAGCCGATAATAGTGACCGCTACTTTTTGGAGTCGTAAGTACGTGACTTGCACTTTCCACTAGAGTGTATATTACGTAGTTAACGAATAGGGATACGCGCCGAGATATAAGGTTGACACTATAGAAAGGCTCTAGGCTTCTAGCAATATACTATAGCTATTTTTAGCCCTATAAACATTAAATCCGAAATTAGACCCTCTAGTGTTAAATATAGACTATTTACGAAGTATTTCGAAGGCTATTCTCTATAAGCCGTCCTTATACTCTTCTTACTCTTACGTACTAAAAATATCTTATCTCTTATATATTAGAAATAAATTACCTTAACGTTTTAAAGAACCTTTCTATTCTACGATGATTTAATCGAATATTTATTAAAGTCACTATTTTCTTTGTAAGGGTTTGCGACGTTTTCTTCTTACGGCGCTAGAGTCGATAATACTATACGAGTACGCGAGTCTCGAATATAATAGTATATAGCTTTCTTAAAAGTTTCTCGACTCTATAGTAAATATTTAGGCTATTTATAAGGATATCTAGGTCCTTCTACGATCTCTCCCTATCGAATCTCCCTAAGTTTTAGATAAATAAGCTACGCTATCGCCACTCAATAGCAGTACGAGTATAGACCTAAATAACGAGCCCATATTAGCTCAATGCTAGTCTCGGCCTAACCGATTGGAAGAAGACTTATCATTAGGAGATTGCGGTCATAATAGACATCACGAGTCTAGGCCCTCTATAGGCTATCTAGTCGCCCATATCGTAATCCATTAGGCCGCCGGAGTCCTTTATCTATATTCACCTTCCACTATAGCTAAGTTAGATATAACGAGCGAAATCGAAGTCGACGCGTACCCGACCGTAGAGAATATATTGACGCGGAGTGGCAATGTAACGTTACCGGCACTATACGAGCCGCGCCCGTCAACGTATGAGGCACTTTAGACTAGGGATAATCTACCTCAAGGTAGGACCGTAGTTGCACAATCTATTGACTTGGCACCGCGAGTATCACCTACACTAGAGGACGGATTCTCCACTACTTCGAGCGATTCTCCCTCCGAAGTTATTCCGTTCGACGAAGAAGACGGTGTAGTACGACTACGTTTAAATAGTATGGACTAGATAAAAGACTTTCCTAGGCTCCTTCGAAGGGCACGAGAGCTCGGCGCGGAGGAGAAAGGGACTTTCAAGATTACGCTATTAAGTGACTTTCCGCGTATCGGCGTAGCGTATAAACACAGAAGAGACCGAGTTTCGACCTTTAGAGGCGTTTCGTAGAATAATAGTGTCTATCGACTCGACCGAGTTGAAGGTCGGAAAATAATTTAGATAAATACGTTAACGTACGACGATACGGTCGTTAATAAGCTCGTTTAGCGCTTCGAGGATAACCTAATAAGATCGAGAGGCCTTCGTTATGTTCGGTACGGTATTAATCTTAATGTACGATCGCTAGAAGAGCGCTAATATATTAGTATACTAACCTAGTTACTCGTTTAGCCGCTTATTAGTAACTAACTAAATAGGACTCGATTTATTATTCTTGGCCTTTACTAACTATTTATTTATAAGTCGTATATAAGCTTTAGCGCTCTCTTCGCGCTCTATAAAGAAGATTATAACTTAGTAGCGACGAACGTATTGTATTTAGGGCGAAGATCTAAATAGTAACGGCCCCTCGCGATACTAATCGACTCGAAGCTTAGGTTCGAGATAGTTAGGGTTATAGATTTATATATATATAGAGTATACGATATTACTTAATATATATTTTATATACGATACTAGCTTAGTAGGATATCTCGTATAAGACCTTTTCTTAAACTACTAACGAGGTCGTTATAGTTTACTCGTATAGTTACTATTAAGGTTTTAGTATCGGCTCGATATTAACGAAAGCGGTTAACTACGCCCCTAAAGAATAGAGTATTCGCGGATATAACGAGTATCTATTTAGTTATCCTAGCTATCCTATCCTAAATACTAAGATAGAATTTCGATCTAATAGAATAGTATAGGACGAAGACCTAAGCGAAGGGTAGCTAAGTATTCGTAGATATTTCGAGACTAAATAGATAGTCGAGAAAGTCTTTAGCGATCAAGCGGGGCCGATAGGATTATAAGTGCTCTAGAGATATAGAAGTAGTAAGTAAGAAAATTAGGAAGAGTAGTACGAGTAGTACGAGTAGTAGTAGTAGTAGTAGTAGTAGTAGTAAAAGAAGAAGGAGAAGAAGGAGAAGATTATTAGGGAGAGAACAATATCGCTTATTAATAAAATAAAGTCGATAATAGTATTAAATATAAAAGATATATAATCTATAAAGAGATTACGTATCGATATACTATTAGAGATACTATCGAAGAGACCTAAAAAAAGAGGCTTTATTTAATAGTAAGCTTTATCGAGCTAGTTAAGATCGAAAAAAAAGGAAGTAATACTAGTCTAATCGTACTAGGACGAGTAGAACGCAAAACGAGAGTCTAAACTCTAATAGGGGGATATTAATAGATAGACTATAAAAGTAGTACGATTATAGCGACGACTCTTCTCGTATACTTCTACACTATCTCCTAATAGACACTAGGCCGCTCTATCCCGCGATCGTATCGATAGCGTCATTAAAATAGTGTTGGCGATAGCTAATAGCTATACCTTTAGTGCTTTCAAAGAAGTCATTTTCTTTCTGTAGCAAGATAGAGCAATATCGGTAGCCGGTATCTTTAGTTCGAATCTCAGAACCCTCGTGCGAAGTATCGACGCTATTGTGATAGCGAACTACTTAAATAGTTATCTTCGTCGTTTCGCATTAGCTCGTCTAGCGAAATCGTATAACGATACTATCGTTAATAGAGGCCACTTGGTCGATAGCGAGCTAAATATAAGCTCGCTCAGAAGGATGACCACTAAAGAATCGAAGTCGGAAGCCTATATTTCGCTGATCTAGTATACTTAGGGCGTCGAATTTTCGGGTCGTTATCGAGGGCAACGTAAGACGCAAAGTGGCCTTATTAATTCCGACGCTTTTGACGTAGTGCGGTAGAATTAGTGTCGTAGAAAGCTAGGCAAGCAGATCGATACAGGCTAGAGATGGCTTAAATTCGCGGACAGATTTAAGTGGTTGTCACTAGGCCTTATTAGTCGAGATTAGTCGATTAGAGACAATAAAGTGGCGGCGAGTAATCGAATATAAGTTAGACTCATTATGTCTAGACTAGTACTAATGACCCAAGTTTTGAAGACACTTTGACGTCGTCGGAACACGGACTTCTCCTAAATGAAATCGAGGCGCTAAAGGGACGATTCCTACGGCAGCTCAATAACGCACTTGGTGGCGGTTTATTCGATCTTTTGGAGGACTCTAGTCGCGCAAAGGGTCTACCCTTACTGGGAATGAACCACGAGGACATCCTGACACGCCCTGATTGTGATCAAAGATAGCTTAACGAAATGGATTGTCAAAGGAGTCCGTCCGTCGCCGAGTGATACGCTATTGCGAGCGGTAAAGCACAGATGGTCTAGATATATCGTGAGGAAGTAAGGGGGCTGCACCACTGTCTAAGTCTCCAATGATCAAAATGCCGGACTTTCGTATCCTGGGAGTATTCGACTTTTTGGATCATGGCTTAATGTCAAAGGTGGAGAAGGGAGTTATTTGAGTGGTCCTTTATCGTGCAAGTCGCGTAAATTGTAGGAGATTTCGATGACATGAGGGCATTTTAAAGTAACCACTAACCCCGTGTATAGTGACGTCGCTATTGGATCATTCTAAGGAGTATCCGAACGACTAGACTACACCAATGGCATTCCCCAGAAGATTACCGCCTTGGAGCACGTCCTGGACATCAACTCGCATCTCGTCGGACAAGTCGGTATGATCCAGGTGGCCGTGCCAAGCAGGCAGAGTGTGCAAGACCACCAGGATCTGGCGACGAATCTCCATTGCCAGGTCGAAGCGCTGAACCAGAAATACGGTGAGTTTGAGTCCGTGGGCCCGTCTGGAGTGCTGGCTGCTGACAGCACACTCAGCGTCGAACGACTACAGATTGGTCCATTTATTGCATCAAAGCGTACCGTTTGACCAGCTCATCACCATGTACTCCGCCTCGGATATCTGCTTTGTGTCGTCGATCCGGGACGGCATGAATCTGGTCTCGTACGAGTACGTGGCGACCCAATGCGAGAGAAAGGGTGTCCTGCTTCTCTCCGTGTTCGCTGGTGCCGCTGAGCAACTGCGTGGAAGCGTGCTGTTCAATCCCTGGGACACCGACGGCACCGTCGAGGCTTTGCGCCAGGCCGTCATCATGGGTGCCGATGAGCGTAGTGCCAATGAGCAGACATCCGAAGATTACGTCCTTCAGAACTCGAGGTGAGTGTCCCAAAACAGCAAATGCAAACGGCTGGGAAAGGAATGTGCCTAATTGACGCGCTTGCAGTTCGACCTGGGGCAAGTCCTTCGTGTCAGATTGAGGCCGAACTGGTGAGATGGCGGCGTTCGTTACCCTTTGGTGTCAGGCCCGAAGATCTGTCTTCCCCGACTGCGCCATTGGTGGATCTTCAGTAGGTGTGTTGTCAGCAGCAAGGGAAAGTGCTGACTTGACCCTGTCTAGCCTACCATACTCGCTGTATCCAGGTCCAGAGCATCCTCTTACGAAACCTGGATGTTGACGTTGACGACGTGGCCAGGCAAGGAGCTGAAGAAAAACTGCTGGAGTCGTGCAAACGCATTGCCCAGCTTTGTCTGACTTGCTTCGCCCCTTACTCGGTACAAGCAACAGCCGTGAGCGCGTTTGCTCTTATGGATTTCCTCACTAGTCACGACGTCTACGACAACTTTCACGTCATGATTGAGTCATTGAGCAAGTCGTCACGCCGATGGCTCCTCTGTCGAGGCATCTTGAAAACGATTTGGCACACCTTGCAAGAACGGAAGCTTGATGCAGCCTTGAATCACACCACATTGAAACTTCTGAAGCTCAACGCGGTCAATGCTTGGGTCTCATCTAACAATCGAGGCACGTCGTAGTGGGGCTGTCGAGATCTGAAGTGTGGAAGAGCGGGACTGCCACTCTCACTGGTTGCCAAGCTACTTCGGCGAAGAGGGCTCAAGCCACGTAAAGAATTATTGAGAAAGACAACACCCGCTGCCATGCTAATTGGTTCATGCCAGCTGAACGTGGTGGTAGCATTGTCATCTACAAATCCGACCGGGTTCCAACCAGGTTTTTTTAAAACATTCAAACTCTTGTTCCGACTCGACTTATTGCCTTTTTAACTAATGGCATGTATGTGCAGATACCATTTTCACCAAGTGAATACGCTATCGACACCATGACGACTCCCTGGTGAGGAAACCAATCTCGGATTGACCCGGGACGGCGGGTTTCAGGAATTCTGTCTCGTGGACCCACGGCAGGTCGCGAGGGTGCCGGAGGGTGGCAGCATGAAGGCAGTAGACATTGCGCCGCTCATGTGCGCGGGTGTCACGGTCTGGAACGCTCTGCAGGCCGCGGGATTGGACATGACTGGCTCATCGGCGGCCGAGAGTGGCAGGCAGAAGAAATCGGTGGCGATCGTCGGGGCGGGAGGCGGTCTGGGCCATTTGGGGGTGCAATTCGCTGCAAAATTGGGATGGCATGTAGTGGCCGTGGACACAACGCCTGCAATCGGGATGCTGAAAGCCGTGGTTGAAGAGCTTGATGAGGATAGCGCGAATGTCACCGTGGTGGATGCCCTGCAAGAGTCTGTCGAGGCCGCGAAGAGGCGCCTGTTTGGAGAGCCAGCGAAAGGCCTTGAAGGCGAAAAGGGTTGCGATGCATCCCTGATCTTGCCTGAATCCCAGCCAGCATTCGACTTTGGGATGGGAATCATCAAAAACCACAGCACGTGCGTGTGTGTGAGCTTTCCCAAGGATGGCTGGCGGTTTAAACCTGGAGATCTGGTATTTCGGCATATTAGACTGGTGGGTGTCTTGACAGGCCGGAATCACCAGTTGCAGGCCATGGTCGACTTCGCGGCCAAGAAATCCGTCAAAGCCAAGATCAGGACGTATCCTCTCGAAAAGCTCAACGAGTTGGTGGAAGATTATCATCGTGGCGTGGGAGGAAAATTGGTAGTCGATATGGAGTTGAAGCCATGATAGGAAGTCGAGTGAATAAATCGTTCAATATCTCCTCTGTCTGTCTCGGATCATCTTTCACGTCTCACCCTAGGCATGTCTCTGGCCTCTTTGCCCTTTTCCCGCTTCATTCTCCTTTTCTCGGCTTTATCACGAGCTCCTTTGCTTATACTCTGTAGCCTCTCCTCTTTAACTCTTTTCTTAACATCCGCCTCTTTGAGGTAGTAAGGTCTTGATTTCTGGCCAGTACGAAGAGCTTCCTTCTCTTCCTCCTTGTGACGTTTCTCGATTGTTTCTTCCTTTTGTCGAGATTCCGCATTGCGGACCTTGGCCTCCATAGACATGACTTGCCGCTTCAAGTCAGCTATAACATGAGGGTCTTTTACCTTCTTGATTTGTGATTTCAAGTCTAGAATCTCCGCGGCCTGGTATTAGGTAAGAAACGAATAGGTCTTGTTTGCTTTGTAGGTTGAATTCCTGTCGCGATTAGCGGACATGACGGTTGGATCAAAGCGTGGGTCTCGAAATTTTTGCGCCGCTGGAGGTTCGAAAATGGTTCTCTTCCGCGAGACTGGTTTGCGGGCGGACTCGATGGTTGGGGCATGCTTCGACGACCGCTTTGGAGCGTCAACGCGAGTTTCTTTCGATCTTTTCCGCGTATCGAAGGTATCCTGGGCTGTGCGCTCGCCAGAACCCGGAACTGATTCTTGAAGCGTCTCTGCGAGCTTTCGTTTTCGCTGGTGGGGACTCAATGTTTCCTGCGCTTTTGCTAGGACGCCGAAGCTGATGTCGTGAAGAGGAAGAGCTTCTTCATGCTCTGATGCAGAATCAACGGCCTATGATATGTTAGGTTTGGGCGAGAAGCGTTGAGACTCGCTGTAGTACCTTATCGTGACTCTCATGATCGCTCTGATCCGACTCGTCAGCCTGCGATTGCTTCGAATCGCTGCCATAGTCCTCCGAGGCTTCGTCTGCGAAATCCTCTTCATAATCATGTCTCAGCTCAACAGGTCGATCCATGAGACTCACGGGGTCCATGGCTTCGCAATCAACTTGCGACCGAATAGCACGAAGAAACGAACTGCGCACAAGAACTTCTTTTTTTTTCTGGAAATGGCACGGTAAATGACGTTGTCGGATGATCGACGACTAAATCCAAACTGGTTAAAAGAAGCGCTTGGTTTACGCTGAATAATCTTTCTGGGGGCTCGCTAGGCCCTTTCGGCTAGGGATGGGCATTTGTCTGACATAACGTTACGCGTCAATCGGGACCCTGTTTTTTCAGTTCTTGGCGTTTTTTTTCAGGATATGTCTGTCAATTTTACAAGATTATATAATCATGTTATCGTAGCTTATCCATTAGTCCGGGGATAAAATCCTACCCTCCGATTAGCCCGTGGAACTTTTGAGCCAATTGACCTGAGACTGTCCTATATCTACAGTGAAAGAGCAGTGTAGACAAGCAAAATAAATAAAATAATCAAGTTTAACAAAGTAAATATAGGCTACCACTAACAAAAATACTTTTCAGTATTACTTAATAACTATAATACCTTTTCTCTATTTACGTATAGCGATAGAGAGCCCTTACGATACCTAAAGTATCCCTCTTATTACGAGTCGCTCCACTAGAGGTGTCACAAGCACGTGGGTTTCCTAATGGAAATAGCCTTTCATGTCCATTGCTCCCGCCAATGAGGACGGTCCACGTAGCGTAGCTCTAGGTCATGAAGCCCTTGAAGACTCCTTGTTAATCCATCATCTTATGCCAACGACGCAAGTCGTGCCACCACGGTCCCTGCTCACCACTTAGATCTGTGTGCACCTTTGACCATGATAAGTAGCCCATTCGTCACTGTCGTTAGGCGCCCCTCGTCCAGCACATGCAAGGTCAGCGGCAGTCCTGCGGCAGCTGTCAACCCAACGAACATGCACCCGATCCCCTCCCTTCAGAAGCTGAATCTCGCTGCCTAAGTAACAGCCTCGCCAGGGTGGTGTCCAGAAATCGCCCACCCTTGTCGACTTCACTACACCGACCTTCTTTCTCTGTATCGGTCACAGAACAATCAGATAAGCACTGCCAAAGCCATGTTCCTCCCGGAGGCGCAGATCAAGATCGTTGACAATTTTGTCATCCAAATTGAGCTTGTCAACGCACATCTACCGGCACCGGCCTAACATCGTCACCGGCACTGTCGTCGTCGGAGTTGTCCGAGGCGTATTACCAGTGACAAACCTTGCGGGACGACTTGATTTTGAGAGTCTTCTTGATAAGTTGGACCAAGTTGTTTGCTCCAGCAAGAGGTGCGTGTCCGTCAACGCAACGATGGTCTTCAGACGATTCCCTTCTGGAAGCCTGAATGAGGCCCCGACTGGAATGGCCCGAACCTTCCACTATACTTCCACTGCCTGTCGGCGTTGCGCCATGGCGGGTCTCTATGCTTATGTCCTCTCATCCTTTTTAGATGCCGAACGGGCGAAAGCGACCTGTTGATTACGATGGCTGTCTCCAGCATAGTAGGTCTTGTGGTCCTGTTAGCTCGTCTGCATGGATTCCCCACAGCGGCAAGCCGGTCTTCGAGAGCACAACCATGGTCATCGAGTCCTCCGAATCTTTCAACAAGTTGAGCCACGAGTGGTCCCGGGGTTGCAGCTCAAGGCGGTAGAGCTTTCGTTCGTGTTGCGGCTTCCAGAGCACGTTGAATACTTCATGCTGTGCATCACAACCACTCTTGCAGAGAGCCCGGATGCAAACTAACAGAGAGTTGCCGAGATCGTCCTGCCACCCGGGCCTTGCCTCCCATAATTCTACGATGGCGAACGGGTCAGGATTTTCCAGCGCCGCGTTCAGCCGGGTACGAGCATCATCGTTGATGAAATGGCACCGATCAATCAGTGCCGCCAAAGTATCCGTTCTCAACAAATCCACCAGGTGGACGCACCGAGCATTGAAAGTGCATGCCGACACGAGCACACGTCGAAGTCCATTAAGTCCCGTAGGCTCCAGCTCCGAGGGGTGTTTTCTCATTCTTCGAGAAAGCCTTGTTTGAAGGTTTGTCCGGGATCAACTTGTCTAGTTGCAGTGCCTGCCAAGCCGACACTAAAAGTGCTGAAATTCAAACCAAGGGAGGTGTTGGACACATAGTTGAACCAGCCGCGCGATCGAAGTGCATGGAGGTGTTGTGAGCCTCGTATTTGTGACTTAAACTCCGACATCGAGCAGTCACAGGAAAACCATTCCATCTTCGGGTTGTCAGCACTACCCCCAATGAGCAGCTTGTCAGCCACCCTAAAAGGTTCCGCTTCTCTTATTTCATGTAAATGTCTTGGAGGGCGGAGATCTGGCTCGGACTCTTTACTCGACGTACGGTCTGCATCCTCCGCATCATCGTCAAGTGGCTCTTCCTGTTTTCGCCAATGGCACTCACGCTCGTTCTTGAGCAGCACAGGGCCGCCGTGGGTTTCAACAGGATAGAGTTGGCCGCCACCAATGTTGTAGTGATCGATCAGCTCGTCTCTCTCGAGAGTGGGAACTGGCCAAAGCGGACCCCTATTGCAGTGAGGTTATGTGCGCGTGTAAGGGGATACAGTGGCTCTCTGGGCTGTTCAGGCTGACGATGGAACACCCATACCTTTAGTCCTCGAGTCAGACCAGCGAGACAGGCAAGCCGGTAGGGCCGAAAAACAAGGACTTCCTCTGCAGATATAGTCTGCCCGGGTCGTGCAGGAACCATGATGAGTTAATCAGACGATTCCCGAGCAACAGTCAACGTATGAGGATTCATATGAGATAGTATAGCAAGATCAAGAGCTTGCACCATCATCTGAAGGTATTCACACTCGTAGCGTTTCGAAAGGTGCCATCTATGAGCTGGGATGTTACTCGCGATACGAACTTTAACTACGTCATGGAGAGATTGGTTGCGAGCGCCCACATCGCCGCTTTAAGTTTGCTAAAAATAGAGTATGCTGGAACTCGTGGAAGGGAGAAATACAGGAATGGTTTTGCTGTACAAGCGACTGAACTGAACATCCGCATCGGCAAATCCAGCCCACGGCCTAAGCATTGACGGCGCCCTAGTCCATAAGAAGTTTCGCTACCTAGACGCCGCCTTCCACTGACGCCACTTGCAGCGTATTACCGTAGTATCCACCCTACGCGTTCACCTCGGCGCCTGAGTCCACGAGTAGCTTCACCAGCTCGACGTGGCCTCTCACTAACGCTACTTATAGCGCATTACCGTACTCTCTACCCTACGCGTTCACCTCGGCGCCGAAGTCCATGAGTAGCTTTACTAACTCGACACGGCCTTTCACTAACGCTCCTTATAGCGTATTGCCGTAGTATCCACCCTACGCGTTCACCTCGGCGCCTAAGTCCATGAGTAGCTTCACTACCTCGACGCGGCCTTTCACTAACGCTGCTTGTAGCGTATTGCTGTAGCGTCCACCCTACGCGTTCACCTCGGCGCCTAAGTTCACGAGTAGCTTCACTAGCTCGACGTAGCCTCTTACTAACGCTGCTTATAGCGTATTGCCGTAATATTGAATCGGTTCGTTAATCAAGTCCCCTAATACCGTGGCTTGACGAGCTACCTCCTTATCGCGTTCGCCCTAAGTTGCAATAATGAGGATTTTTCTTACTACCGCGGTAAAACTAAAGGTACTTATAATAAGTAGAGTTGTTACCGACGGGCGACTTTCCCGCTTTTCTAAATACTAGTAAACGGGAAACTACGTCTGAAAGTAGCTCTAACGAATATCGTAAATTGATAGAACTAATTTAATCTCTCTATTTACTAATATGTGCTAGGACGCCCGATAATATTTAGGCTATCTTGTAGAAGTATAGTTGAGCAATGGATATTTAGAAACGTGGTTTTGGTATCGGCCTTGTCACTAATAGTTGTACCCATAATAACTCGACTACGGTAATCTCTTCCGAAAGACATCGAAAAGGAGTAGTGCGATATAAATCTTGGTAATAGTATATTTAGCAACGCCTAAGTCCATAGAAAAGTGCTATTTCTTGTTTAAAGCGGAGAACGTTCTGTTAGTACTATTCTCTATGTTCGTTCTAAGGAGAAAGTCACGTGTAGTCTAATGAAGGAGAGATACCTTCAAATCACTAATGCTAATGAAAAACCCGTATATATTGCGAAGATTAGATTCTCGGATATCTTTAGGTTCGAGATTAAGATCTTTATATGATCGAATACCCTCCGTTCTTGCTATCGTAACTATAATGGTTACCTCGTCAATCGTTAGAGGACGTATAGTCGCTAGAACGATCTGCAAGATAATGCGAGTAGCTTCCGGGTCAAGACTTCGACCGAGGATATTTTCGTATACTTCCGCGATAGATATGGGAAGTTGCTATAGTAGACTCTTGATTCGTTTCATTATTGCATAACTAGGGAATCGAAGTCGAACCTCCTTCATTACTAAATATAGCTATAGATATATTCGCTATTGCATTCCTTTTAGATAATCTATAAGGACGCAACGAGATATAGAGTCGAGTCGCGGAACCACTTTTGGTATGCGCTAATCGATAACAAGATTGATCTCTTAGCTAATAAGGTAGGATCGGTCGTTACTAGTAAATTTAATGAAGTTGACCTTAAGGTCTAGAAGGCGAAACTTTCCGTTAATATTATAGTTTGGACGACTCGTGATGAGGAATTTAATTCGAGATGTCTTAGGGCTACTTAGCCTAGTGTCATTATAGAACTGACGGAGCTGATCGAGCAATTAATGTCTGGTATCCGCTTGACATTTATCCAAAGTATCTAAGAGATAAATTACTTCTCCTAACGATGAATCACCTGCTATTGCCGTGAGGAGGTTCCATAGAGGAAAGAATATTGAACGTAGTCCTAGTTCATTTGATTTGAAAGGCTAGTACGCGTAGTTAATTAAACCGGATACTAAATTTTGAGAATATAGCTAGTGAAGGATACTATATAGCGCGTCCTTTCCTCGTTGTCGCCGCTCGAGGCTATCTTTGAAAAAGAAATAGCATACGATTGATATTATTAACTGCGTGGTGAGAAGCATTTCATTAATTAAAGCCCGCGATAGGACTGACTTGCTATAGCCCGGGCTAGTTGAGAGCTAAAGTAGGCCTGACTCTCTCGAATCGCGCTATCGACGGAAACGAGGGTCATCAAGAAACTATCGATAGGTGTTTAGCATACGTTTCGAATTGACATTTTTCTGTCTAGTATAGTTAGTAGCTAGGCATTGAAGTATGTCTCGTCGAAGATCGTCCTCCCTGTCGGCAGCGCGAGTGGCAAGAATATCGCGCACGGCGTCAAGGATCTATTGTTGGATCTTGCTAGACTTCTCTATAGCGCTAGTTTGTTTCTCCTACTGTGCTCGTTTATCCTCTTTATTTCACAAAGCTTTATGCTTCTGATAGTACTGATCGGCATTGTTAATCTTCTTTAGCGAGTCTATCCAATGACTAGGTCGACTGATACTATGCATACCGCGAAATATACTATTGTGAGATAGATAATAGGCTATGGACGCCTAATATTCGAGAATTTAAGAGTATAGCTAGGTGACTATATTGCGGTATCCATCTACGGTAGTTCCGCGGCGTAAATGAGTCCGTATATCGTATAGCCTTATTAATGAGGCGATGTGTTCAAGCCCCTCGATCATAGTATCGCTCTCTTCACTTAGTGCTAAGGCCAACTGAACTCGTTAGCGACGCACATAATATGCCATAAAGTACGATACCGGTAATAGCATTGTGACGCCCGACTACGCGAGCGCCATATACGGTTGTGTGCTAATAGCGCTAGCTACAATATCCTTGCTCCATAGAACGAACTTGATAAGGTGTTCTCTATATTCTCGAACTTTAATAGGCTTGCCGGCAATAGCGATAATCCACTGGCGTTCTTCTCGTCTATTCAATCTTGGCTTAACAATAGAATGTATCTAATCCAATGAAGTGGAGCTAGCGCCTGAGAGCTGTTCAAAAGATTGTACCAGTCCAAGTTCTCGTTGTTTCAGTATTTCGTATGCATCTCTCCATAATGATTCTGACGACCAAGGAAGGGCAGGACTGGGTCTAGGAAGTGTGGTAAAAGAAGCGTTCGATGGTGGAAATGTTGGGGGAGCAGCAGTCGAGGGAGCATCAGTCGAGGGAGCAGCAGTCGAGGGAGCAGCAGTCGAGGGAGCAGCAGTCGAGGGACTACCTTGCCGTCGATGTACTAACCGCTTGAACCTTTCCATTCTGCCACGCCGGGTCGCAAAATGTTACAACCCCACAAGTTGTGGAAGTTGTATGCAGCGGCATCTTGTGGAAGAATTGCCTGTTACAATGTGCTCCGTGTGTGTTGAACTGCGGCTGAACCGCAGCTGTGAGGGGCTGGACAGAGATGAGGCGACGCCGGGTAGTATGAAATATGTTCAACATGATTGGTTCCTGCTAACGTTTGAGCCACACTTGGCGTCGAAAGCCACAGCCTTCCAAATATCTGCAAAGTCTGTGCGAAAAGGAGCTTCACGCTTTTCCGCGCACCGGTAACACCTTCACACTAGCATATGTACCCTCACGCATGAACATGGAGCAGTTGGGGAAGAACGAAGAATCCCTCCTTACGTATTGTATTGCATTGCGACATACGATCAACATCAGTCACAACTCAGTAGGGCTGTTTCGCTCGTCGGCTGGACGAGAGTGGGACTGGAAGAGACAATCTCCCGATCTTGCTAGTGTGAGTTTATTTACATGATTATATAATAACATAAATCACGTGTCAATATCTCGTCGAGAAGTCCCAGAGTCACAGGGCAAAAAATTCTCGTCCTGAAAAAACTGGGTCCTTTTTCTGGACGAGCTCGTCCATTTTTCAGGCTCGTCCACGTCGACGAGTTACCTAGATAGGAAAGGCTTCATGAAAAAGGACGAGGTGGATAAAAATCGAGGACAAGGTGGATAAGGTGGCTTTTGTTAGTCCCTTGGCTCTAACCCACCTCGTCCGTCCATTTCTTGTATTTTCGACGAGCGAAACAGCCCTAGTAATAATTGAAGTAAGATGCCCAAATCAAAAGACAGATGTAAAGCATCCCCATTCTTCGCTCGCCATTTCTCTCTGCGCCAATTGAATTCCCTCTTCGCGTGATTTCTGCCTTGCCTGGGCGTCGGCCCTGGCTTTTTTGCTTTACGCGCGCGACCGTTTCTTTTAGGAGTTCCCTTCTCTTCACGCTTCCTGATCGCTTCTTCAATGTCCTCACAACTCTGGCTTTCAAAGTAACGTTATGTCAAACAGCCCAACGCCGCTTACTTGATGGCTTGCAGGAGGGGCTTGTATGGCAAGCCAATCGAACAGGAAGGCCCGAAAACTCACATGCAATGTCTGGTGCAGAGTGGTCGACACGATATTCAAACTCACGTTGACATCGAACGGTTCCCAAGCAACAATCGAGTCAAAATAAAGTGAAAATGACTGGCACTATTCTCGCGGGGACCGTGCTCCGTCCTCGGTACTGGAGAATATAATGGTTGATTGCCCGGTGGAAGCCCCACAAGGCCTGAGAAGCCATTTTCACTCGCTTACTTGCGCAAGAACTCCCTAATGAGGGCACTAACTACTGCCGGCAAAGTTCGCACTATCCCATGGCTCCCACGAGCCGCGGGAGGATGAGGCCGGCACAAACTCTGGAGTCTGGAGGTGACAAATATTTCGAGGATTCTTTCGTCGCTTTCAACTTCGGTGAGTCAGCAAAATTGATTCGATGCTGTGATGTTGCGGCTGTTGCGACACCAACAATTTGCTAACGGCTTTCTGGTCAGGCGTTGAACAAAGATACAATATTTCTCTCGCTTGAGAGATGATGTGTGAAGTGTGGTGAGAAGCGAGGCTAATCAGACCTACGTCTGGCCAGGCGTAGATCAGTCGTGATTAATGTCTTGGCCAACGCCAGTTCACCTTCCACCTTCTCTAAGTTCTCTTCCTTCTTCTGCCCTGTCACTCTGTTTCTCCATCCTCCTTCTTTATCCTTGCAAAAGCATCTCGCCTCACGTTGCATTAGTGCTTTGCCAACAACCTCCAACCATTCTCATTGCGCGTATCAACACCGAGTCAGCGGCCTCATAACGGAGGAATGATGCTTTGGGCTCATGCAGGCTATCATGTCTCTCATCTGCCTATGCGAGACCCTTATCTTTCTCTTCGCATTAACTTGCCGGCTGGTTAAAAGGTCTGTACGTACACGTTGACATCTGTCAACTTACGCTGCTCGCCAAGAGCCTCGTCTGATTAAATCGCAAAGTCAACCCCTTGGTGAGCCTGAGTGGCCCCCCCTCTTTTTTTACCCTCCTCGGGACTTTTGTACTTGTTCCGGGTCCACCTTCCCCCGTCCTTTCTGTTCGAATGACACAGACCATCCAAACCAAGCTCTGGGAGCTGTCAGAAACCCAGCAATGTTGAACACTCCAATACCTCGATGCAAGGGAAATTGGCTTCTATGCCGCTCGAGTGCCGCGCATGAAACAGGTGTTTGGGGTGGTCGAAGGCCTGACCAACCTTGCAATCCTTAGTGTCAATATTTAGGGACTGCTAGCGTTAAGCCTCCCCGGGTTCCATCGACAATGGTGGAACCACTCATAATGATGGCCTGTGTCCGTCACTTAACGCCTATGCTTTCCAGTCTCATCACCATTGGGTCGATCTGGCGCAGTATGCGGCCTTCTTGTTCACGAACACAAGAAGTCCTTGCTTTGGGGCGTCATTTGGCCTTTCTCAAAACCTTGGACCTTTACCTCCAGCTCTTCCCCCTGCGTCCGCTGTCTCTGAAGACTCCTTGCATTATCTTCGGCACTGTACCCTTAGAAGTATAGTCAAACTATGCAAGCTGTCTAAGGTGACAAACTGTCCACGGTATCGCGAACTTTGGCTTGCATTTGCTACGCTTAGCGTCTCAAGCCTATTCCAGTCTCGCTTGGGGGACAGTGGTGAGAATCCTTCCGAGTCGAACCTACTCAAGACAGTCAGGATCTGCATGCTCCCGGAAGCACATGGCCATCGGTTGACACATGGCAACCGAGCTCCTCTTCGGGTTCTTGAACTTTGCGGTCCGCATATCCTTCCATCGTCCTTGCGGACCACTTGTGCAACTTGATCTTGCAGGCTAGGACGTTGCGCAAGAGCTGCATTCATCCATCTCTCAAGACGTTTGCTTCACCGGCCTAGCTCTATGACAACCTTAAACGCGACGAGGCCCAGATATTAGCTCAACTCCGAACGGGAAAGAATCGACTCAACAGTGCCGTCTACGTTAGCAAAGCGGTAGATTCGGATCAGTGTGAATGGTGCTGCCGACCCGAGACGGTCAGACACTTTCTAACGGAATGCACGCATTGGGCCAAACAGCGCCAACAATATCTTCAGGTTACTACGGATCGGTGGATGGATGTGTCATTCCTTCTCGGAGGATGGACGAATGAAAGAGTGGACGGAGCGCTCAAGAAATGGAAGCCGAACATGGAAGCAGTCAGAGCAACGATCCGTTTTGCGAAAGCCACCGGTCGATTGAAGCTCGACCCTGAACAAAGGAGGTAATAACCCTGTTTGAGAATGCAACGAGCCTACACTCGACAGTTCCTGTGCCGATGAAAGAGCAGTAACACTCAAGAAGAGTAGTATTGAGGATGGAAGTGTATAGGGTCGTGGAGGGACCTCAGTAGCCGCGGGTGGGATGCCGCCGAGGACCAAGAGCAGGAAGTACCATGAACCGGGAATTTCACGTGCAGCCATGTAGAAGCAGCTATTTCCCCATTGGGCTTAGCCCGCCTGGGAGTATGAAAATCAATCAATCAATCAAACACTGAGCACTCACAACTATATATACGGCTAACGATCCCATAGCTTTCCTATGTAGTCAACTTCGTTCACGATCATACCCATACGTTTGGCTCTTTGATCACTTCGCTCTTGTACATTGACTCGCTCTGTACTCGTGCTCTCTTTGATATCGACTCTATACTTCCCACTTGTCAGGAAACCCACGTGCTTGTGACACCTCTGGTGGAGCGACTCGTAACAGGTGTGAGTGAGAGAAAAAAGAAATCCACCTTGCTTGAAGTCGGGAAGGGTGTGAAGCCTTGGCATCACATGACTGAGTGTTCTCCCCTTTTTACTAAACCATACCACCAATTCTTTTGTCTCGTACGCCTCCTTGTCCTAGTTTCACAACGGACCGGGTGAACGCCAACCTTTTAACCTTTTCACCATTCACCCATTAATAAAAAGCGGCTGGGCGTTCCCGGCGTGAGTCTAGAAGACCGCTCAACCTGTCCGAGGATGATGGAAGATGGGAGCCGAAAAGTCCGTATATGATGGCATTGCTGAGATTGCTTCATTAACAACAACCTGATAATGTCATGCTGTGGAAGTTGCAAGAGGTGATATGTCGAACTCTTGAAGACTCTGGGAACCGAGTTCTGCGGGATACCGCTTTCTTTGCGCCCCCGAGACAGCTCTAATGGCTTCTTGGTCAATCCTTCGGAGATATGCGAACTTCATTTCCAGGATAAATAGCTGACGGGAATGCACTCGTAGGTTTAAGTTATTTCATACCTCCCTTCCATTATGCAAATACACTCGTGAGGCACAGCGGCTGCAGATTATAGCTTCTACTCAACCCCAGATCTTGTTATACGATCTCACTCTTGTCCTCCACTTGTGGCAAATATGACGCGTTCAGCAGAGGTCCATCAATGGCAAGCCTCACAAGATGGCCCTAGGAAACTTGACAATGTCCACAAAGCCCATGCTGAAGCCGGGCAAGGGTGAAGTGCTTGTCGAGATTTGGACTGTTTCGCTCAACTACCGCGACACAGAAGGTGAGTCTTGCGAAATTTCTCTTCTCTCTCTCTCTTGCAAGCAAGTATTGTGAGTCGCGGGCTGAGATACACGTGGTTGATGATAGTGTGCATGGGAACATATACACACCACAAGTCGACTGGGGCTACTTCATCAATCGCTCAGTGTTCAGATATGTGCGGCGTTGTAGTGGAAATAGGCGAGGGCACGACGATCTGCGCATGGAACGTCGGTGACCGCGTCGTGCCGAATGCAATCAAACACATCTCAGTGGTCAAATCACGGCCAAAGACACGGCTTCTGGGCTTGGTCTACCTCTGGCGGGGGTCTGCAGACATATCGCGTCTTCCATGCCATTGGACTTGTGAAGCCTCCAGATTATTTGAGTGATGGGGAAGCTTGCACCTTGCCCATCGCTGCAATCACGGCATAGATGTCTCTCTACGGAATGATGCCTCTGGGCACCACAAGTGGGAAAATGGAGATAGTCCTGCTTTAAGGAACTGGCGGAGTTTCCATCTGTGGACTGCAAATTGCGCATACTGTCGGTGCGACCAGTGAGTATGCCCCCTGCGGTTGTTCCGTTGGTATTCGAAGATGTTAATTCGTCAATATCAGCAATCGTAACGTTCTCTTCAGACAGCAAACTGGAGCGAGCCAAATTGCCCGGTGCGACAAACACAATCAAGTATCGGACGAATCCCGACTAGCAAGATACAGTAATGCAGATCACCCAATATAATGGTGCCGATATTGTCTTCGAAGCTGATATCGAAGCTGGCGACGCTAGAACATTGCACAAGTCATTTGACTGTGGAGCCTCTGGCGGTCTGATTAACGCCATCGGCTACCTTTCCGGCAAGGAAGATGATCCGGGGAATCGGGTCAATGCTAATGTCCTGGCGATCAAGAAGGACGCTACCTTGAAGGGCATTCTAGGTGGTCCAAAAGATAGATTCGAAGAGGCATTAAATTTCTGGATGGCTTCGGTGTTGGCTTTGGGACCTGCGAGGGGCAAGTACTTTCAACGATCTGACGGCAAAGAATTGTCATTGTGATGGGTCTGGAGAAAGAGCCCACTGCTGCTGAGTTGGTGAAAGAAGTAGAGAGGAAGAGTGTCACTTTTTGGCATCCCGAAGTCGAGGTCGTTTGGTAGCTGACAAGGGCTGTTTCCTCCCGCCTGTGGAAGAGCCCACGAGATGCTCAGAAGCGCTCTGCAGTGCCAACGCTTCCGTCCGGTTCGGCCTAGCAGGTACTGCAGCTAGACGAATTGATCCGGGACAAACTGTCAAACAAGGTTTTCTCGAAGAATGGGAAAACTCTCCTTGGAGCTGGAACCCACGGGATTTAATGGACTTTCGAGGTGTGCTCGTGTCGGCGTTCACCTTCAACGGGAATCCTTGCAGACGAGATAATAGGTCAATTAGACCTACTATGCTGGAAACGGCCATCGTGATCAACAAATCCCTTTCACCCGTGTGGCACCTCCAAAGAGCCAAAAGACGCAAGCACACAAAGATCCGCGCCCTCCACGGCGTAGTGCCGACAGGCAGTGGAGGTATATATGGGAGGTTCGGGCCATTCGAGCGGGCACCCATTCAGGCTTCCGGAAGCGAATCGTCCGGAGACCCTCGAAGCTTTGACGGACACACACCTTTTGCTGAAGCAAAGTTCAGCATTGGTCCGACTTATCAAAGACGCTCTCAAGATCAAATCGTCCCGCAAAGCCTGTCAGTGGGAACTCGCCTCGGACAACTCCGATGATGACAGTGCCGGTGACGATATCAGGCCGGTGCCGGTACATGTGTGTTGATAGGCTCAATTTTCCATAATCAAAACCGTCGTTTGAGTGTCGCTGGATCGGCCATGGCGACCAAAAGAGTACGTCTGCTGGCGCTTGATGGCGGCGGAGTGCGTGGCCTCTCGTCGTTGATGATCCTCGAACAGCTGATGCAGACCATGGACCCGGCGAGTCCGCCGCAACTCTGCGGATAGGTCGATATGATCGAGTGCACCAGCACGGGCAGGTTTGTATCACCGATAGCGTGATTGTGCATGGCTCGCAACAGCTCAGATCAATTGCCAGTAGTATTGGTATGGCAGTCCTATCGACATCGACTACGCTCATCGTTAGAGAGCGACGTCGAGGTGCGCGTTATGTACGCTGTATATACTGTCAGCATGCCAAGTGGCTTGGCGTGCTGTAGCCACGTGATATAGGTCCCTTGTCCTGGGGGAGCCTCGCCAGTATACCTCTTATCCTGGGGGGTTTCCTGACAATATTCAGGCGAGCAGACCCGTCCAAAGCACTTTGTAGAGATCTCCCATGATACCTTAGCATCATTTTACAATCAGCATGACAGGGAAGGCTGTTAGACGTAGAATACCCCCAAAGCACGTGTCGAATCCTTCTAGGACCTGTCCTCGTCTGTATGATATTTTAGTTCCCACACGAACACCTACGTGTTATGAATCGCCCCACGGGGTGATGTCACGAGACAAGGGTTCCTTGGCAAGTGGGAAGTATGCGAGGGGGTTGTCGTCGAAAGAGAGCACGAGTACAGAGCGAGTCAATGTACAAGAGCGAAGTGATCAAAGAGCCAAACGTATGGGTATGATCGTGAACGAAGTTGACTACGAAGTAAGACTATGAAAGGACCATGTATATATACCCCAGGAGGATCAGCACGGATCAGTGGTGCTCAGTGATCCATACTGAGCCACACTGATCCCCTGGTCTCTCCTGCTCAGTGTTCAGCCTTGCGGCCCGCTGATCCCAATCACGTGACATAGCCTTGTAGTATGACGCCGAGCCTGACTCGGCTTTCCTTCCTTCCTGGTCTGGTTGCCTGCGGTCGTCATATGGCCGCATGCTTGGTTCGTAACACTACGAAGTCAACTGATCCTGAACGCTAGGTCAGTTCCCGCCCTGGACAAGATCGAATGCAAAGGCTTACATGATATTCTTTTGGAATATTTACCACGTCACCCCATGGAAAAGCGGGGTTGTCGAAGTCCAACCCATGCCCGAATGGCTTCCCTTTCGGCGTTCTTCTGTCCAGGAAGACAGCGTCATCCTTCTTCTGCACAAGACGCAATGGATTGAGGCTGAAGATTATGGAAGGCTGGACCAAAGCGGTGAGCTTGACTGGACGTTCATGCTCCGCCGGCAGAACCGCGACAACTGCGGCAGGAAATTGATGGAGTATGCCGCTCTCTTGTGCCTTATTTTCAATGGTGCGCCAGACCGCGATGTTATCATCGTCATGTTCGTCGTCACTGGTGGTGGATCCATGGATCTGCATGCGGTGATCCACTTCAACTTGTGTGGTTGAGGTGTAGCTAGCTTCCAAACCAGCCTGAGCACCTCGATTATTATACTGTATAGGCACGCTCAATTCCCAACTTCTGGTCCTCGACTCTTTCTTGACTTCGCCGTAAATTTGTACTGGGGCGATGACGACAATCTTTGGGTCATTTTTGGGTAATCTCGGAGAAGGGTCGGATAGGCTGGCATCCTGCGTCTCTTCTAGCTTTAGGCGAATCGCAGCGGACTGAAATCGTTTCAAACCTCCATCTTGAAAGGTGAATTCGAAATTAAATCGTAGGAGGACGGCTTCCTGGCCGGAATAGGTGCCGTATTGGACATGGGAGAGCTTCACGGCGAACGAGGTATTGCCAAGATCTTGAGCGGTGATCTTAGTCCTGTTTGGGTTGCCGTCATGACGTATGCGTAGGGTGGCTTCAGAGCCTTCATCGATGGAAAATCCCGTTTCGAAATCGCCGTTCAGCATAGTGGATGCGAGTGTGGGAGCTTGGTTTTGAGGTTTTCCGAGCTCGGGACGTTCTGGCCTCAATCGCTGGTGGCGCCAAGCCGGATGATAGCAGACTCACGTGACGTGATCTGGCGTCCTTTTTCCTGATAGCCCACATAACCTGCTTGAACGTCTAAATTTTGGACATGTTGGCTTTTTCTGAAATGGACGGCGACGAGTCCCTGACTTTGTATTTTCCCGATTGTACAATCACTTCGATCCGGGTCCGCGAGGTTGTCGCTTACATCCGACGTTTCTGTCTCCGACATGAGTGGGGGAATGGAAGGGAATATGTTTCCACACTAGCAAATGCGGACATTGAGGACCTATGCGTCGCAAGTCATGCAGTCTGCTTGTATCTACAACACGGAGACTACAGTGGGGCTCAACGGACTCTCGACCGTGTTCCGATCAGTCAGTTGCTCCTGGAAAAGTATGCGCTGCTCAACGAAAATGTGGCACTTCTCGCGCTACTGTCGGCGGTAGTGAAGTCAACATCATGCCTCGAAGTGGAATCTGCCCTTGCTCTCGCGAGAGAAGTTGACCAGATTTACATGTTTCGTGAATGTAAGCGCCCGCTCTGTCCTGACTGTGCCTCTTCACCCTTGACATCATTGACAAGGGGCCATCGAGACCGACTTCCAGTCAGAAGGATTGAGAGTACGAGCTCGAGCGATCATGACTCAGCGTGCTCTCTGGAAAATGAGCGATCCCGAAACGTATGACGAGTCAGATGCTCCGATGAGTGACGCTCGAGTGAGAATAGTGCATTTCCGCGTGTCACTCTCATGCTGAACCAGGCAAGGTTGATATTGAAGATGCAATCGCAGTCATCGTTAAACGGGCATGTGACTCTGGCTATGTCCGCAGAGACGATGTTCTCACGACACTACGCAATCGATTTCCGCCACTTATCAAATTTCTTCGTGCCAAAAATCGTCGATTCATGGAAGCGAGCATTTTCTTCCAAACGTATTCGGGAGACTTCGCGATAAGTTCTGATCCTATTCAACTGATGCTCAAATGGCAAGAATATCTCGAGACATTGAGTAGTCCTAATCTGTGCCTGCTTCGCTCATGTGCGCTAGGTCAACTCGCCAACATTCATGCATCTGGCAACACCATCCAAGCCAGCAAATTTTACCTGGAGGAAGCGTCTTCGATCGCGCTGCAGGAAAATTGTGCCAATCACGTTGCATATTTGGCACTGACCTATTGGCACCGTTTCCCAGATATGGCGGAGCTCGAGCTCAAGCTGGGGGATGACCATCCACCTAAACCGACCCAATCCCAATCCCAGGCAGATGACATTACTGTCCAGTCGTCACATGAGCTGCTGCTACCCCCTACCGAGCCCAACTTCTGGAGTGCGCGATTGCGTTCTACAGTGGCCGAAGCAGATCGTCGCCTACAGACCCTTCTCGGCTTGCACGAGAAAATTTTGCGTGGGCTCGAAGCGTCATTACTTTTGAATAGCGCAAAACATGCAATAAAACTTGCAGCAGCTGTTCGGGGACTCCCGGAGAAGCTCAAGCCCTTCCTGGATCCGGTATTGGCTCGATTGAGATCTTTCGGTGATCGCCGAGGAGTGTACTTGGTCCAGTCTTGGTACTATCTTGAATTGGCCCAAATCCTGGGGCGTGCTGATGAAGCTCGGGCGTATTTTGAGCACGTGCTAACTCAGCAGGACTCGGTACGGATCCCGGACTTCATCCGTGCAGCCTGTCGCGGCGCCTGGACAAGCTACCGCACGCTGGAGGACGATGAAAACGCCTTGAGGTATGCTCTTAGAGAATTTGACTGTTATCAGTGTATCCTCGAAGAGTCCAAGAGATCCGTCGCGGCTTATCATGTGGTCGTGTCAAGGTTATCAATTGTCCGGACCCGAGCAAATCAAGTTGTTCACAACTCAGAGAATCAAAGTCGTCTGAATGACTTACGACATGAGCTCGAACGAATTACCATCCTTCTAAACACCTGGATTGATTCCGACAGAAAGGCCTCTAGGTGGCCTGAATACCACGACAAGACGCACCAACTATCTTCGATGGTTTCACCACTGTGTGACCAGCTTCAAGTCAATGACGATCGTGTACGAAGATTGATCACCTCCCCGAATGATGCTCAGACAACGAAAGGCATAGATTTAACGCCGACGTCACTCATTCACATCAGGGTCTTGATGCAAGAAAGGCGCTATGCGGAACTCTTTTCGTACGCTCGCAAGATGTATGGGATCGTCCTGCATAACAAGACTGCCACGCTTCACCAAATGAGCATCAGTGCAATGGCTTATGCTGTTGCGCTTCAGTCACTGTCATCGCACCGACCGCGACCTTCAGAACAAGTCCTCAGATTCATTCGACGTCTTCAGTATGAGCTCCTCACCACTAACTTGAAGGCGCTCCAGTCCGCTCTCTCGGAGCGACAATACTTGCAGCGAGCATCTCTGCTTGCCATGATTGTCCCAGAATGTCTCAAGTTTTGGCCAGACGCTCGATCTGAATATGTTCGAGCGATGATTGAATATTTTGAGGGCGCGCACTTCATCTGTCGCAACGTCCGTCGGGGTATTCAGTCAAGTGATGACTTGGAGAAATGGATTCGAAGACGCGCCCTGGGCGGAACATGGTCTTTCTCTGGTCTTTGCAAATACGCCGGTGGGTTCTTCCTCCAGACAGCAAACGAGGGACTTGCCTGGTCATGGATTCAGCGGGGATACGGACAAGCTCTTCATGACATGCTGCAAGATCGGGAGACTGCTTCTAGTCGGGTATTGATGGCAGTGAAGCACCACAAGGATCTTGCAGATGACCTCTCCGAAGAGATCAGACTGATAAGGGGGCTTGCGAAACTAGACCCGATCGACTACTTTGAAACCGTCCAAGTACTGAATCGACAACGAGATCGAATGAGAAAACATCCGATTTTTCGACAGATGCTGGATGGGCCTGAAAATTCCGGACCAATGCATCACGACAATTTAGAGGATATCTGGGGCCTTCTCAATTATCTTCCTGAGGCCGCCAATATTGTTCTTGTCGACTGGTTCATTGATTCGCGGAAAGTTATATGGCGACTAGCGATAAATTCCAGGGAAAAGCATTCGATGCCACGGTCTTGGAAATTGGATATAAAGCTGCAACAGATCAAGGTCTGGACTCAGTCCTACCTGCAATTCCCTGTAGGTCAAGTCGCACAATTAGAGTTGGATTGGAAAGCTCTACACATTCTACGCAACTTGGTTATGGGTCTTGAGGACGTATGTAGGCCAGGAGACCTGATGATTCTGAATATTCCAGGTGAAATGGCAGGCATCCCTTTCCACGGGATTCCTTTTGACGGTAATCCCGGCATGATCATGATCGAGCGCAACCCGGTCATTTATTCATCCGGGTTGAACCTATATCGACGGTGTCTGGAGAGAGCTTTGGATATTCCAGCCGTTGGCGCAGGGCGCCTGCTTGGAAAAGCCGTCTTTACCTCTGCATACGAACAACCAGGCATCGAGGACGAGCGAGATTCGATCTTCAACCATCTGAGGAATACCGCAAATCTATTCGACGGGAGCGTACTGTTGGGCCTCGATCTCACGAGAGATTCCTTGCGAAATGCTCTCGAAACAGCGACCTGGATTCACTACCATGGGCATGCCTACTACACGCAGAGAGAGGCTCTGAACCAGTGTTTGGTTTTAGGATCAATCGGGGGCTCCGAAGAGCTTCAATCTCATAATCACCAAAGCTCGATACAAGAGGCCCGGGCGCGTCTCGAAGCTGAGATGCCGTTCGAAGCTTTTCCTACCCCGAAGGAGGTATTGTTGACGGACCATCTACTGGGGCGCTCATCTCGCCTTGCTGTCGCGGATGTATTCGTCATGGACATCTCTCGGAATCATCCTGTGGTCTGCAATATCGCGTGCGATTCCAGTGTCCAGAATTTCACGTCTGGCAATGATCCTCTGGGGCTCGTCTCCGCGCTTTTCTGTGCAGGTGCATCTTCAGTCGTTGGAACACTGTGGCCTGTCCGCAGCTCCTCGGGACGATTCTTTACGGAGAAATTTTACAGCAACTTAAAGGCACAAGGCAGTGACCCAGCAGTCTCCCGAGTGCATTCGCCTCGTCAAGTTCTGAATCTTGCACTGGCCTTCAGGGAGGCAACTTTGGCTATCAAAAAGACCAAGCCAGAACCTTGTTACTGGGCCGCATTTGTTCTTCATGGAGCCGGATTCTATTTTTCCAATTAGTAGTCCTCATGGAGTTTTGAGAGCTCCTGAGTCGAAAGACGCCCCCTACAACAGTGCCCTTAAGCGTGTCGAGTCTGCCACTAACACAAGCTCAGGGAAGAGCAAGGCAACTGCAAGACAATAAGGAACACTCATCCTGCAAAGCGGATAAGAAGCCTTTGCTCCGTTCAAGGAGATGATGTGGTCGCGAGGGCTATCACACACGAGTTGGATTCGCCGGATATCGCAGTATGTAACAGTGGCTCGCCCAATGAGGCGGATCTGTGTTCGATGACCACCACATGAAGGGATGCAGGTTGCTTGCCACTTTTCTCACATTTAGCACCTTAGCAGTCGTGTCTGCTGGTTCCGCACTTCTAAAGGCTGATTAGAACTAAAAAGATATCGAAGGTACTAAAGCGGAGGTACAGAAATGAAAGAAAAGTATCGCTAAGGCTGTTTATGAGAGTGCTTTATGAATCAAGCTTTATGTTACGAGGCGAGCAATACTGCCTGCTGCTTTCATTCACTCAGCGTCGCGACCTCTGTGGCACAGAAAGTATGACCTCTGCGATGCCGATCAAGTGGATACGCGACAAGCTGCTACGAGAACCACATACATTTATGCGACCAGCCTTGGAGCGTGCTGCGCTGACAGAGGCCGTGGGGAAGCTGCATAGCCTCCAGAACTCACAAGGTCGTCAAATTACAAGCGAACTCGACTTTCACGTGCTTCAGATGGAGGACATTGAAGGCGCCCAGTTTTGTCCTCTGGAAGATTGGAAAGCAGACAAGAGTGTTGCCGCTCTGCCTCAACCGCACGGATCGACCCATCAACTTGCTTCTTGCCAGGTTTTGGCAAAGGAATCAATCTCTTTTCCTGACGGAACGCTTGATGTGAAGAGGGTAGGGTGCCTGCGTTGGGGATATCGGAACGGGTATCCTTTCCTTGTCTCAAATCAATTACCTTGCAAGATTTCCCTGTCAACGATCAAAAACTCGGAAAAGAATTATAACATACCTGGATGGTACTCCGAGATATCGACTTTACCTGGATGGTACGCCTTCTCGGTGTTACCACTCTTTCTCGGGATCCACCAAAGTTGTCCCGACTGCCCGAGTATCAATTACATCCTCATGGTCATATCCGCATTCCGGGCCCAGCAATAAACAGCGCCCACAAGGCAGTTCCGACGGTTCCTTTCAGCTCTAGTCTCTCAATTCTACAATACTCAGATCACAGTGGGTTCAGGGCCCGACACTTACGTCACAACCTTACGACGTGCTGAAGTACGAGACTATGGGTTCGTCCTGTTTTGTGACAACGAGAACCACAGGGGCGGTGACGACGATGCCATACTCGAGGTTGAGATCCGCTGCGAAAGCTTATTGCTGGGTGATTCAGGAATTCATCTATCGGACGGTGTCAATGACTTCACCAAAGGCCAGCTTTGCCCTCCAACACAAGTTTTGACGACAATACAGCTATTAAAGGCAAGTCATATTATGTGGAGGTCGACTTCGGATTGTGAACAACATCCGATCAAGTTTGTCGCGGAAGGTGATCGGCTTACTGTTATTATTGACCCTTCCTTGCTTCCTCACTCAATGGCAAGAGCAGGCAAAGTACCATCTTGAAAACCGACTATCACATGAACGTAAAGTTCGCACTCCCGAAGAAATGGAGACCCTATTGAAGGACATTCGAAGCCGCGTCACACCAAATGGTCAGCGTAGTCTCGAGCAGGGCCTTTCGCAAATTAGAACGTACATCACACGTGTTCCACACCGTCCTTGTACCTAAGCGTAAATTCTTTACTGCGGTTCGAGAACATCAGAGCCCGAATGGCTTCGGCTACAGCTTCGAGCACTGCAAGTCTCGAAAATAGGCCAGAGCCAGGATTAGGTGGCTAAACTAGTTGGTGGATATGTCCACGCTTCAGCTGAGCCACAGTCTGGGTGGTGAGGAGGAGAGGTCGGAGCACCAAAAAATCACGGATCATTTCATCAAATATCCGGAAAGTTTTGAGGAATTGAGTTTGAGGAGTGCAGTAGCAAGTGGTGAGTTCTCACCGTCTTTATGCAAGGCGGTTTGTGCCTGCACTACTGAGCATTGCCTGGAAAGAGTAGGTGCACAAAGAGGCGGCTTGATGTGAGCTGAAATGCGGGGGAAGCTATTGATCAAATTATCCACCAAAGTACCTACTTATGCGGGTGATTTTTAGGCCGTGATGAAAGGTACATAAGAGGCCCTACACAGCACCGCACGGCACCGCGCAAATGGTCGAAGAAGTTGTGGTTGGACATTGGCATGCTCCGTCCCCAAGCTTTCCTAGCCTATCCCCACACTGACACTGTGGAGCAACCATTTAACAACAAAGTACCAAAAGCATTGGCACAGGTGAACTTGACCTCAACTGGAGTGGAGCTTGGCGTTTCAAGTCTGCGAGTGGACAACAGTCTACTTACCTTTAGCACAGGAAGGGCTGAGAGCGATGTGCGCCACAATTATGCTCAGCAGTCCTATACTGAGCCGCAGATTTTGGCGAGTGGCCCACCACATCTCTTGGCTACGCAGAAAGACGTATTCAACACGCAAGACGAGCCCTCTGCAACTTGTATCATGCCCCCATCATTTCTTCGCGCTTCTAGAACGCCAATCTCAGATGAAAATGGAGCATATGCTAAGAGGTGACGTTGGTCACTTTTCGCAAAGGATGGAAAATGAATGTACGAATTCAAGCTTGATGGTAGAGGAGAGATCATGCTCTCAAGAAAGATGGGGCGTCCCTCTTGATTTGTGGTACGTACGTATCTAATTGGAGATTTGGTATATATCCTTCTGGATCCCACTCAGCCAGGAAACGGTCTAGGTTCCTAGGAACTGGCTTTTGACATGTCTTCCGGAAGCGGTTCGGTATCGATAGAGTTGACCTTGAGGCCTTTCGGGACAGCATCCGCCCCGGTATATGTGCTGCCCACTACGACTGAGCCTGTGAACTGTAAAATTATTTTGAAATCATTCGACTCGGGATTCAAGGAGAACTTGTCGTCGTTCCAACTGTAGCGAAGAGAGACGCCCGTGTGATTATCATCCACTTCAAGGAGAATCTGAATAATATTATCACCTGTGTTTTTGTAATAATTAGTCAACATGTCCCATTCCGAATGAGGCAACAGATGAAGTAAAGTTGACAGACTTAGCATTGGAATGGAAAACAAGCCTCCAGAAAATCCGTAGGAGAAGCAGTGTTCCAAGGGAAGAATATCAGTAGAATATGAGGGAAAAATTATCGTAGACGGGTGACTCACCTGTCACTGTAGTGTCGAATTTGACTTGTGTTTTAGGTGCTAATTCTTGAGATGGGCTGATACTGCTGGACCAGATCTGCTTTACGGTTGATTTGTTCGTAAACCAAATCTTGATGTTGCGTGGCGCCATAATAAGAGCTGTTGGATCGAGTATGATTCGAATGATTGATCACGACAGATGTTCGTGTTACCCAAATTTGCCGCCAAAGAGATGTAGGATGACTTGTTGGGTTTTACGGAGATCAAGGATGATGCGAGTTAATAACTTTTACAGAGGATCGGGAAATATTTCTTGTTGTACGCTCTTCCTTCAGGCTTACAAAGAATGAATTCCTGAGCAGTCATGCGACCCGGCTTAAAGTGGTCTGGACCGATCTCGATGGCACGAATGTAATCAGTTCATGGATGCACAGGTTCATGTAGGTTTCAGTCGTGCAAGTGATGGACGCTTCAATACCTGGGATAGATGTTACATTAAAGGTGCGTGGGTAATTGAATTCACGTATCGCGTACGTATCTACTGCCGGTTTTGCAGCCTCTTCTAGACCTCGGCCACACAGTTGATGGCTGGCACTTACACCGTCTGAGCATGAGTTTTCGTGAATTCTTGCTCTCTAGGCCAGAAGCATTTGATCAACATACAAGATGCGAAATTTTCGATTGTTGAAGCTAGCGGTACGTAGCTCTCCGTAACGACTAGCCTCGTAGACTTTTGTGAAAAGCCTGACCGCCCATATGTGTACGCTGGTCCATACGGCTCGTGCATTCCAAGGTTGCCAGCTATCAAATCGTATGAGGCAGACGATCGGGGAAGCGACAAGTCAATGCAAGAGCAGAATAGGCTTTTTTTGAGAAGAGTCAGACAAGGCAAGCACTGCTCGCTTGATCGAGAAAGCTACACAACAAAGTTCGGCATATTATGGGTGGGAGCTGAACTGACACATTAGAAACGTACTGCTCATGCAGTCCAACGCACTTTCCTCAGTTCGCTTAGCTGAGCGGCATTCTTCGTGGCTGGCCGAATAGTGGTTTCAAACCGGCGTTAAGATATTAACGCCCGTGCACCAATGTATACACACTCTGTTCAGCCCTATCAACATGTGTGGATGGGGAACACAGCGCTGGTGGCGTTTATGGCGCAGCGGTCAACTGCGAAACTTGTCTAAGCTTCGATTCTATGCATGTGTCAAAAAGGATCAGTGCATCATTTCTACATACTGAAAGCATTCGCGATATCCCCAGCCGAATCCGAACTCATACTAAGCCATAAAAAGACTAGTTTAGGATATAGCGGGCTGCAGCAGAATAGGACATGGCTGGCTGAGCGGCATTCTTCGTGGCTGGCTGAATTTATCGCGCTAAGAGGCAAAAATCACGGGATCGGATGTGATTGACATATAAATCAGGGTCGAATCAACAAGCTAACGCCCATGGTGCTAGCAGTCCCTGGAAGCTCTTCACGAGGCGCCTAGTGGCTAGCTGATTGTCCAATGGCTGAGCGATGAGCTTCTCATGGTTGTCTGAACATCAGTGGGCTGCAGGTTGGACCGTAAAGACCAGACCATCTATCGAAAGATCATCCAAGACCAGATGCAGCCAGATGCAATTGAGACATCGATGGCGGGCTCAAAGTGTGCTGATATGCTGGTATGAGACCTGGACTCTGCACCAAAGGCCAAGGGCTGTCGGAATGTAGTGCGGAATGCCTTGTCTGGCTGATGTCCTTGATAAGCACAGTGCAGATCTCTACAGCAAGACCAACGAGACATTGGATTTTTATGGCCTCTACTCTTGTCCTCACGAATATATAAATCCTCGTTTGATCCTTTGTTTCTGTTTCCTTTCATCGAACTTTAGCAGGCTCAACAAGTTCAGCAGTTTCAGCGATTCTCCAAGCTTGAATCAAAGAATTGGGCCATCATGACTCACTCACACAGAAGCAAGAACTTTCACAAGAAGAATGTGGCGGACGACGACTTTCCACCTTCGTCTTGGCTTGGATACGGCATTGATCTTACAGCTGTGGGTCCCAACGACATCAACGCTGTAAGTCCAAACGTACATCTCCGGTGAAAGAACTCACAAAGCTGTCATAGGTGACCGAAGCAATCATCACCACATACGCTCTCATTCCTATGTCTCCGACAACTTCAGTGGTTGACGTAGCCAATGCCAAATGGAACAAACCTGACAATGTGAACGTCGCTGTTGACGTTGCATCCAGTTCCTGTAAGACTCTCCAAACTATAGTTGAATCTTGCTGACATTGATCTCCCACACAGCTTCGCTCAACTCTTGGAAGGACGGAACCTCGACAGCCGAGGCTCTCAAGACTAATGCATCATTGTCTGCGCAATACATGGCCGTCTCGGGTGACGTATCGATCAGTTACTGTGTCAATTCGTCGTTCGAGGAGGATCGATCTTACTCTTTGTTCAGCTACAACCAAAATGTTGCAGATGTCAAATTCAAGTCTTATGGACAATCTATTGATAAGGACACTCTCGCCACCGCCATCTCTGGCCTCAATCTGCAAAATTGGGATCCTGCCAACAAAGATGTGGTCAATTCTTACAAGACGTTGTTCAATGTTCTTGGCAGTCATATCGTTGTTGGTGCTACGTACGGAGGTAGATTCCAAATGGTACGTGGTTGTTCATCTGCCAGCAGGGCCGAGCAGCTGACATGAATCCAGTCCATCTATGCCTCAAACTCGGACTCTTCTTATGAAACTGAAGTGACTGCAGATCTCAGCGTCGCTTACAACGGTCTCGTGACTTCTGGCAAGATCGACGCTTCTGTGCAATCGGAAGACCAGTACAAATCATATTCCAAGGAGGTCATGCAACAAGTCTCATGCCAGGGTGGTGATGTCAGCCTGTCCGCCAAGTTGAATACTAGCTATCGCGCAGATGATATCTACTCAACTTTCCAACAATGGGCCCAGAGTTCAACTCTCAATCCTGGCGTCATGAACCTTGAAACAACGCCTTTGTGGACGGTTATGGCTGCCACTTTTGACCCGGATATTCTCAAGCACTCAAACGATGTCAAGAGCGCATTCTACTGGATTTTGGAGAATCCAGCACCACATTGGACCAAAGGTGTCGTCACTATCAATTCAGATTGGGGCGAGTTCGGTATCACCAGTCCCAGTGCATATATCATCCAAGATCCTGATCTGCCTCCAACCGTTGACAATCTCGTTTTCAGCGGCACCAAGATCCAATGGGGCAGAGAATATTCTCATGCTTTCCAGCGAGATGTTACAATCAAGTGAGTTTGAAGCTTTCGCTGAAAAACCTTTGCTAATAAATCCAGCTTCATTATCGTCAATGATGGTTCTGGCCTGAATTTCGAGCTTTCCCATGGATCAGATGGCGCTTCTTCAAAGGACGGTCGTATCGATGTTACTTTCAACAATGTGAGTTTTGCTTGTCAACTCTATAACCTTGCCTTGCTAATTTGGTAGAATACCTATACTGCCTCGGCAGTCACGGATAACAACTGGAACACTCAATTCTTCTTCAACAAGCCAGTCAATCCGAATGAACACACCTTGACCCAGGAGACCGTCTCCACAGGTGGCTTCTCAGGCACCAGTTGGGACAAGAAGTTCATCTACGATACTACAGACAGACAGAGACCACAAGGCCTGACTGGACAGGGACCACACAAAAAGCATAAAGCTCATCATGCCAAGTGATGGCAGACAGCAGCAGCAACAGTCACCTCGTCTCAAATGTGGACCATGCGTCTGTACTATCGCATGCTTAGGCAATGTGATGTAATGTTCTAAACTATGTCTTTCTGTAAGAAGACTGTTCTGGATGGCCAAATTTTCCCGTTCGGATCAGGATCTTGGTACAGGTTTTCGACTGTACCAATCAACCTGTATCCACGTCTCTCGTACCAGGCCTGAGTGGGAATCTAAATCAATGATTAGCGTTTCTCACAGCCAACTACTCCAAACCAAGTATTGACCTTGAACTCTCCTCCATAGTTAGCTATAGCAAAGTCCTTGTCGGATTGATCGTCGTGGTCCACCGTGTCTAGTAGGAGATGTCTAGCGTTGAGGGGTTCCTCCGTGGCCATGCGTTCAGCGATATTCATAGCAGCTCCGCCGACACCAAGGCCTTGAAGTATGTAAGATACGTAAAGACTCTTGATTCAGTACGAGCCAGACTTGGGAATGTTTAGGTCAAGCTTTGCTGCGTAGTCAGCGACATGGATACCGAGAGCGATATGCCCAACTGGAAGGAGTTTTACATTAGTGGGAACGCGCGGATTTCCGAGTAGCGTCTTGCTTGAATCGACGAGTTCTTCTGTCTCCTGCAAAAGGCTCAGAAAAATTCCGAACCGCTTTGCATCGTTGAAGCTACCTTGGGATAAGCCTTGATGTGCATCTTGAGGTATTTCTCACGCTCTGGCTCGTCCTGTGGGAAGATCTTGAAAGAGACTAAGAGTACTGATGCAACATAATGCGATGAGATGAGACATACAATCCAGTAAATGCACTTCGTCCCGTTAATGTGTCCATCTTTCCATTCAGTCGCGACAATTGGCGCATGCCAGCCACAAACTATCCGCTGCTCAACCATGCGCTTGACATGTTTGGGGGAATAAGGGTCCCATGGGATGAGGGTGACAGTTGGTTTCGCCATTTTGGGATCGCTCGATCGGTTTTTTTCGAGATGAGAGCCAGGTGATACAGGTGTTAGGGGGTCAACTTGAAGCAATTGAAAGGGGGGTAGTCAATAAGATATTTTTAGTTTCATATCGGGAGATTAGTTTCATATCGGGAGAAGAGATCTCCGCACTGGCAGAAGACGTTGGGACTCTGCGCCTAATCTGGTCTAGCCCAAGAAGTCTACCTCGCTGTCTGAAAAGACCCTCTCTACTACCTGCTGAACTGATCTTACGAATGATTGCTAACCACAGGTGCTCCCATACAGTGCCCTAGTGAGGATCTCTCTATCAAGGAAAACCTGCCAGACCTCACGCAGGTCGACAAACCTGATGCGAAGGTACTTCCGAATTAGCAGTAAGTACCACTGCTGATCGATAAGAGAGTTGGCGCCAGGTGTTCGGACATTGACATTGACCACACATCGGAGATCCCTCAGACCATATCACGCAAATTGTATCTATCTCGCGTCTGTGATACCACCGAGATGTTGAAGGGGGCTCGGGACTGCTTGGAGGTGTTCAGGAAAAGCTACGAATGACCCACCGAGATGTCGAAGACTTCCTTCAGCACTGTTTAGGAACTGGTGACGATGAGATTTGCTGGCCACTCGTCAGCGGTACTGCATCTAGCGTGTTCACTCAACCGAAGAAGGCCTTCATTTACGCCATCTCACGATCGCGCACGAGCCATCACTATGTCAGCCATTCACACATTCAGGATGAATCAGAACCAGTCAGAGACGGCCATCATGATACTTTGAGTTTTTTGTGGTTCACCATTGGAGTCGGGGTTTCACCTTCTATAATAGCCGAACCTGATCTATCCTACAACTTATATATAAGAGTAGTTACGTTCCAGATCGGGCTTGGTGGAATGTTAATGCTTATTGTACGAACAACTGGACCTTTTAGTGTTTTTTCTGCCTATCCCAAACAGAACCTTGTCCTTCTCAGTATCTTCAAGACCCATACGGTTCACCGGCCAAGAAGCAACCATAGTTCGCGGGGTTGTCGGTCGAGCACATATCCGGGGTAATGGTGCCGTAGGAGGAGCTGCAATAATCGATCACTCCAAACCCGGAGGATTCACACCCGCAACTGCCGCCCAGGATCGGCACGCCTGTGTCCGGCCCATCGAGGCCGCTGAGTAAATCCGCGTTCGTGATGGCCGTGCAGCAGTACTCGTTACAGCAGGAGCACACGACGTCGTAGATGGCCCCGGACGAGTCCTGCCAGCAGTTGTAGCAGAGAATGAACCCCGAACTTTCAGCCACGAAGCCACTAGGGCACGTGAAGTCGGTGCCGTAGGTTTGTGGGAGGAAGGTGGGCGAGGCGGCCGAGCAGCCTGCAGAGGTTGTAGTCGTGGTACCGGTAGTGGTTGTTGTACTGCCCGTCGTGGTGCTACTGGTGGTGCTTGTGGTACTGGTTGTGGTGCTCGAGATGCTGCTCGTGGTACTACTCCTCGTCGTGCTACTAGCGGTGCTCGTGGTGCTACTACTAGTCGTAGTGCTAGATGTGGTGCTCGTGGTGCTGGTGCTGGTAGTACTTGTAGAAGCGGTCGTGCTGGTTGTGGTTGTAGAAGCCGTCGTGCTGGTTGTGGTTGTAGAAGCGGTCGTGCTGGTTGTAGTTGTAGGAGCGGTCGTGCTGGTTGTAGTTGTAGGAGCGGTCGTGCTGGTTGTAGTCGTAGAAGTGGTTGCGCTCGTCGTAGTCGTGGTGGTGGTGGAGGTGCTGCAACCCGCTGTCGCCTGAACTGTGACGGTAGTACTGGCGGGATAGAGGCCCGCATTGATGCCTTCAGCGATTAGACCCACTCCCGCATGCCCTGGCACTCCGTCGACTTCCACGAAGAGGGCGACGTTGGACACTGTGGTCTGACACGACTGTATCATCAAAGCCCTGTTGTCGGCGTTTGCCTTGTCCACGGTCGAGCAGACAAATCCTACAACGCTCAACGCCGCACAACCGGAGCGGCCGCGAGTGAAGAAGGAGCAGACGCCGACTATGGAGACCGTCGCCACGGCAGAGATGAACTCTTGGTTGGCCGAGCATGGCTGATACAGGCTGGTTATAGCATCTTCGCAGTTGGACAGTACCTGGCTCGAAGATAGATAGGCACACGATCCAACGTAGAGACCTGTCCCGGTATCCACGATAGATTGTGTATCTAGATTTGCAACGTGGTTGTTGGGATAGGAGCCTGTCAGATGTTGGGACTCCTCGGAGCAGGTGACCTTGAGAGCTAGCCCTTTCACTGGATTATTGCAGGTGTCGACAACAGTCACCGACACTTGTGCTGAAACCGCATTTTGCCTTTTTGCCAGTGCAGCATACAATAGCTGGCTGGGGACGGATCTCTTGGTGGCTTGACTACCGCACGTAGCCAAGGTTATGACCATGGGATTTGAGTTTGTAAACGTGGCGAAAGATCCGTCCATCAAGATAACGACGAGGGAGTCTGGAAGAGTAGTGATATCGATATCGAAGAATTCGCCGCTCTCATCCTCGACGACCTCATCAGTGACGGTGACTGTCCCTGAGCTGTCGACGGTGCCGTAGGCGAACAAAGTGGCCCCTGAATCCAAGCCTGTCTGCCAGAGTAACAGTTTATCTGCCAGCTGAGACGAGGGGTCCTTACAGCCACTGGTGTTGATGATTGTATAATCGGAATTGGATGGTTGAGTGGAGCTGCTTGTACTGGTCGCTAGACGACTAGTCGTAGAAGTGTAGGATGAAGAAGCAATGCTTGAGATGCTCGATGAAGGTGATGTCGACAAAGACGTCCTGACGCTAGAGGCGGAAGCGACTGTGCTTGAAGTCGAAGTAGCCGTTGTCGTGGTGCGTGGAGAAGATCCTGTCGATATACCTGTCGAAACCGAAGTAGCTGTTGTCGTGATGCGAGGAGAAGATCCTGTCGATAGACCTGTAGAAGTCGAAGTAGCCGTTGCCGTGGTGCGCACAGAAGGTCCTGTCAATGGGCCTGTTGAAGTTGTAGCGCTGTTTGCGGGAGATACTGTCGTCGACGACCCAGGGACTTGTATCGTGCTTGATAAGGATGAAGGGAGCGCATTTGGAGTACCAGCGCTTGTCAAAGAAGTGGACGAGGGCCAACCAGCACCGGCGCTCTGCAGAGTGCTGGTGATGATAGAAAGTGTGCTCACCACTCGCGCGCCAGGTGGCAAACCAGATATGCACCCTCTGGGACCCTGGGCGGGTGGAGACACGGTGCTGGTGTTCTCAACCGGCCAGGACGTAATGAATCCGTTTCCGATTGCGACAGAGTAAGTCGTATAGATATATTCAGTGACCAGGCAGGAACTATAGGCGGAGGATGTCGGCCCCTTGTCTCGATTAAATCTTGCTTGACTTGTCTGGTTGCCCAGAGACTCACATTACCGTATGCGTTCGGGACAGTGTACTCCACAAAGTAGATAATGTCGTATACACACCAAGCCCTGATGGGGACGGTTGGCTGCAGACAAACGTCGTCGGTGATGGTGACGGTGTTGTTGACTGTAACATATTCTGTGACCTGTCGCGACTCCGAGTATAAGTATTGTCATTGGGGATCAAGCCCGTCTTGAAGGCGAGGCGCGATGCAAAATAAGAAAAGATAGAACAGACCCATAGCTGACAGCATTTCGTGCTCGCAAGACGTTGCCTTTGGGTCAATTTCCCATACCCCGTGCACAGAAGTATGGTATTCACGTCAGGGCCAGGACGAGTGGTGTGAGTGGAGGCGCAGATATTTGTAGTTCATGCGACTGCAGCTATGGCATGCTCAAGAAGGGGCGCAAGCCACCGCATGCTGTTCGTGAACGACAGGGCAACATAATTCTCATTGGCTTGTAGACCATCCGCTGACACGGCAGAGATCAATAGCTTATAGCTGTGGCGGACAACTTGCTAAAAACGAGTGTAGTCTGGATGCTTATCGACCTGGAAGTATTCTTTTCCCCATTGAGCGGCTGATTCAGTGGAGCATGCTTTCCGTATCGGGAGCCCGGGCGCGTCCAACGTGTCGAGTCTTCTTCAGGGCCGGCTCGCCAGGCAAAAGCTTAATGTGCAAAGCCTCTGGCTAACGCACGTCGACAAATAGAAGTCTCTCCTGCTCCGGACAAGCGGCTCATGGTGTGCCAAATGAGGTGAAGATGACTTTCGACTTCCTGCCAGAGATTAGCGATGTCTCACGAGGGCCCTAGGCGATGTGCTCGCCGTCAGCTCGGTTCACTTCACCACTTTGAAGCTCCGACTAGGAAACCGTTTGAGGTTTTGCTCCAATAGTGAAGACATGGCGCAAGCCATGGACGGGCGTAGCTGGCGAAATTCCCAGGCCCCACGAACGCCTGGCTGTGAAGTGTTCACCGTCCCTCCGGCAAATTTCCAGCCTGTCATGCCTCAACGCGAAATTGCTGGGGACGCAACCGACACAATCATCAAGTTTTTTCGCAAGGCACATCAGGTACCATTAAAGCAGAACGGGCTCTCCGCATCATGAATTGTGAAAGATTGTCTCAGGTGGTAGATCTCCTGATATAACGGATGCTCGGGGCGTTTTTTCCCTTCCCAAAGCCTGTGTCCTCCACATTTCCCGCTCGCTTGCCGGAGAGCCCGGGGGGGGTCCGCAGAAAATCGAGAACCTTCCTCCACCTGATGCATCACTTTGTGGAGACTAGAGTGAGAAAGACAGCCCTTTGATTTTGAGAAATCGGCCTTGTTCTCCCACCTACCTGTAGTTCTGTAATAGCCAAGAGGTTGGGTCGCTGTTCCCCCCTTGACCACAGACAATTGCTCTTGTTAAGAACTTCAATCAAAAGATGAAAATTACCAGTGATAACGACTATGATGTAAATATAACAAGATGCTCTATGACAATACCAACCATCGTGTTATGGTAGAAAACGACTTTAGGTGATAAGGTTGATTGCATCAGCGTAACTTACGTTCCGAAGCTCCCGACCGGAACCAACGTGGGTACAGAAGCATGGCCTAAGTATCGTCTTCAGCATCATCGGGAATGGGAAATATCATCCAGTACCATCGGATTGGTATCTTACTCCGTGGCCGATCAACCCTGAGACTTATAAACATCTCACGTAGAACTACTACTAGTGGCGTGCAAAAGTGAGGCGACGAGGCCGAGGGTCAGCATCGAGAGCTGGAAGAATATGTCCATCTCACCGTGGTGGAAATAGTAGAAAAGATGCAGAAGGCCGATGCTCCACCCGAACAAACTAGTGAAGTTCTACAGCAGGCAATGTCGGAAGTCGATGCGCCTTCTGCAACACCTGAAGTAGCCGCTTGCAGAGAAGCCCGAAGACACCACCGGGAAGCTCCTCCCGAAAACGCCGTTGCGGATGCGCTCTCAACGGACGAAGCATCCAAGAAGAAGGAGGGCGATTCATCGCCAGGTGTCCATGAAAATTTCAAGTTGACTTCTCTCTTCAAGATATGAGGTCAAACCCCTTGGTCAATATCGTCCGGGAGAGCATGGTACAGCATTCGTGGACGGAAAAGCCTCTAACGGTCCAGCTCTCTACCTACAAGATAGATTGGTACTAAGGGTGTTCACTTCGTCGGTCCAGAAGAGTGACGTCCTGATGAAGCAGGTAGAGAACCGTCAGCCAAAACCGATCCCTCAACAAGCAAATGTCGGATGTCCAGCAACTGCTTCTACATCACAAGGTATATATTACTAAAATCCAATATTTCCGAGGCCCAACCAAAGGCCGATTCCGACGACTGCTACTCCAGGGGAAACTCATCATGCAGGATCTGCCATCTCACAATATGCCATTCCGGAAGCTTCGAACAGTACTCGTCAAACCTCGACATTTGGGTGAGCCGAAAAGAGACGCTGAAATATGTGAAATCAAAGGTCGACGAGGGAAAGCGCGGTAGGATGGTAGAGATGAGTGGCCAAAAAATCTTGATAAGGAAAGGAGAATGGGAACAGGTCTTGATGCAGGGCAAGAAGGTCTGGGTGAGCAAGAAGTTCGAGATTTCCACTGATTTTGAAGGGTAGGTATCAACAGAAAATCTCCGCTGGATTTGTCGAGGTGATATTCCAGTCTGACGTTACAGGACAACGGGGAAGAACCCCTCTTTGTGGCTATCTAGGGGCACTTGACACCTAAACCTGATAGATAAGTCAACTCTTTATAAGTCTGCATCTGCGATGACGTAGGTATATCAGTCTCCCCGCCAACCGGGATTGCCAGAGATATATACCATTACCTATCTTTCCTTTTCTACCCTTTCACCAAGACAACGTTTGAGCGTTTTTGCATCTCAAAATGTCACTCAGTGAAGGTTGCAGGCTTGCTAACGCCAGTGCTGAAACTGCAACAAACCGAAAGTCATGTATCCCTTCCCCACGTTGTTCGCATGCTCCGCTCGCGAATCTGGTGGATTCTCGTTATTAGGGAGGCCGACGTATGCCTGACAATGGGTCGACCACCGCGCATTTCCCCCAATGGGATGCTGCTTCCACGACGAAAATCCTTTGTCAATGGTGCCAGGACCACCAACTATACGTCCCTTTCAAAGGTTGGGAAATTCCGGCGAGATCCCTGGGTACAGCATCGACTTGAGCTAGCGTTTATCGAAAAGGCGGAGCTAGCACTCATTATATACCGAATCCTACGCCTCCCTCGCGCAGACTGCGAAGTGCCAAATGCACGAGCAAGCAGGGAAGCAAGAATATGGCTGCTTGAGGCTGAACTGAAAAACTGGCGACTCAACCTACCAGTAGACATGACTTCGTTGAATCCGGTTCTGAATCTTTCAGACGACGCGGACCGGTCGCTACATCTTAACATCTCGGTAGTCAACCTAACGGACCGAATGGTAATTGTGATTCTGTATAAGAGCCAGGTGTCAATATCTGAATGGATCAATGAACCTCATGATGAGGGCTGCAGAAAGAAAATGACCTCTTTTAAAGCACTAAAGGCATAGCTGTTAGCTACCGCCAACACCATTTTAACGACGCTATCGACACGATCGCGGGATAGAGCGGCCTGATATTCGCCGGGAGATGGTGCAGGAGTATGCGAGGAGAGTCGTCGCCACATTCGTACTGCTTTTATGATCTGTCTATTAGTGTCCCCCTATTTAAGTTCAGACTCTCGTTTTGCGTCCCACTCGTCCCAGTACGACTAGACTAGTATCGCCTCCTTTTTTCGACCTTGACTAGCTCGGTAAAGCCTACTATTGGATTGAGCCTCTTTTTTTAAGTCTCTTCGATAGTGTCTTTAATAGTATATCGATACGTAATCTCTTTATAAATTATATCCCTTTTATATTCGATACTATTATCGACTTTATTATGCTAATAAGCGATATTGTTCTCTCTCTAATAATCTTCTTCTTCTCCTTCTTCTTCTCCTTCTTCTTCTACTACTACTATTGCTCGTACTACTCTTCCTAACTTTCTTTTACGCTACTTCTATATCTCTCGAGTACTTATAATCCTATCGGCCCCGCTTGATCGCTAAAGACTTTCCCGACTATCGTTTCGGTCCCGAAATATCTACGAATACTTAGCTACCCTTCGCTTAGGTCTTCCTCCTGTGCTATTCTATTAGGTCGGAACTCTATCTTAGCGTTTAGGATAGAATATTTAGGATAACTAGATAGATATTCGTAGTGTTCGCGAATATTCTATTCTTTAGGGGCGTAGTTAGTCGCCTCCGCCAATATCGAGCCTATATTGAAACCTTAATAGTAACTATACGGGTAGATCATAACGACCTCGTTAGTAGTTTAAGAAAAGGTCTTATACGAGATATCCCACTAAGTTAGCGTCTTATATGAAATATATTAAGCAATATCGTATACCCTAAGAATATATGAACTTATGACCCTAACTATCTCGGACTTAAGCTTCGAGTCGGTTAGTATCGCGAGGGGCTATTATCGTTTAAATCTTTCGTTCTAGATATAATACGTTCGTCGCTACTAAGTTATAATTCTCTTTATAGAGCGCGAATAGAGTACTAAAGCTTATATACGACTTATAAGTAAATAGCTAATAAAGGCCGGGAATAATAAATCGAGTCCTATCTAGTTAGTTATTAGCGAGCGGCTAGACGAGTAACTAGGCTAGTATACTAATATATTAGCGCTCTTCTAGCGATCGTATATTAAGATCAATATCGTACTAGATATAACGAAGGCCTCCCGATCTTATTAGGTTATTCTCGAAGCGCTAGACGAGCTTATTAACGATCGTATCGTCGCACGTTAACGTATTTATCTAAATTATTCTCCGACCTTCAACCCGATCGAGTCGATAGATACTATTATTCTACGAAACGCCTCTAAAGGTCGAAATTCGGTCTTCTCTATGCTTATAGGCTATAGAGACTCGCGTACTCGTATAGTATTATCGACTCTAGCGCGGTAAGAAAATATCGTATACCCTTATAAAGAAAATAATGGCTTTTATAAATATTCGATTGAATTATCGTGGAATAGAAGCGTTCTTTAAATCGTTAAGGTAATATATCTCTAATACGTAAGAGGTAAGATATTTCTAATACGTAAGAAGAGTACGAAGTACAAGGACGGCTTATAGAGAATAGCCTTCGAAATACTCCGTAGATAGCCTTCGTTTAATACTAGGGGGTTTAATTTCGGATCTAGTGTTCGTGGGGCTAAAAATAGGGAAGTATAGTATATTGCTAGATAGGCCCGAGCCTTTTCTATAAGTGTCCAACCTTATGTCTTGGCGCGTATCCCTGTTTGTTGCCACGTGATGTACACTCTAGTGGAAAGTGCAAGTCACGTGCTTACCACTCCAAAGAGTTGCCGGGCCAGCCTCCTACCACGTTATGCAATGGACAATCGCCCTCTGCGAGCACGTAGGGTGTAGGCTACGGGTCTGCGGGACGATGGACTCACACCTTCTCGCGGTGTCCGGTGTTAAGCACTGAAAAAGTGTGAACCAAGATGAGTCCGCAGCTTCAACGTCAAGGAAATACCGTGTTGCGACACGGGTCATCAAGAAAAGGGGGAAACACCATTTGAAAACCATCCGACCCGTCAGTATCCAGCTCGTACCTGGAACCGAAACAAGTCCTATCAAGCTTGCGAATGTGGTATCGCCTATTCACGGGACAGGACACCCCCAGCTTATAAGCGCTCTGAGAGACGTGTCGTGAGTGGCACGTGCGAAGGTGGCGGGATCCCAGGAAGGTACGTACTTGCGGCCCTCTCAACTCCGACGTATTCTATCTTAGGTGGTCCTCTGCGACACGTCCGGCCCTGTTAAACCTCGAGAACAAATCACCGTCCACGGCGCAGGGGGTTGCCTGCGAGGGGCCCTGTTAAACTCCGAGAACAAGCTCCCCCTCGACCTGTTGACTCTATCCCTCCGACCCTGTTAAACTTCGAGAACAAGCCACCGGGGCCATAGAAAGGAGGAGGACGGTCTACGGAAAGGAACGAGCCACCGCGAGGAAATACAACGGAAGGGGGAACATAAGCTTGGTTAGTAAGAGATCGCAACGTGACAAGGATTGCGGGCGAGAATTCTCTCAAGGTCCTCTCGCGAGACATGGACGGCCTAGATGCGGGAGACCGCGCTAGGCAACGCGAAATGAGGCGTGTACGAGCAGTATGCGACTCGCGGGCCGTAGCATTGGTAGCCATGGCGGGGGAAACCCTACAAGACCATCCGCATGGCTCGAGAGGACAGAGGCGTATGTCGGTGTACAGAGAGAACGGACACTGTCTACCCTACTCGTACTAGGGTCCTGAGTCATGACGATGGACAGTTCGAGGAACGCGTGCGGGCGCTTACGGGTCGGAGTGGAAGCGAGGTGACGTCGCGAGATGGAAGGGACTGTTGTGAGCCGCAACCCGACACTCGATGACGGGGACTACCGAGTGACCGCAACCCCCCTCTGTCTGGGATCGCCTGCACGCAGGCGACCGCCACCCGATGCAGAGGAAGGGGACTGACGGTAGCCGCGACCCCACACGTGATGGAGGGGACCCTCGACAGCCGCAACCTGACACAGACGAAGGGGATCAAGCTCGGATGGGACTGAGCGTCCACGACGGATAGTTTGGAGCCAGGCATGCGGGAAACATACGGGTCGGAGTTGTGACAAAGAGGTATCGCCTAGCAGTGCAGGCCGTTGATGTATGCTTGAGGAGTAAACAGGGAGTCATCGAGGTAGAGGAGACGTCTGGTCCGCCTCACTCTATGGAAGCGTAGACCAGCGAGGAGCGCGGAAAACAAGGAGTATATCTGGATAGGCAGATACGGCACAATACTATATGATTCCTTGGACGTGCCCCAGGTAAGTGCGCCACCTCGAAAGGTGTTTAAAAGCGCGGATTGGAAACGGATTCGGAGGGCCATGGCCCGAGAGGTGGGAACTCTCCCTGAAAGTATAGGAGACGATGAAGTGGAGGAGCAGTCGACTCGCTTGAACGAGATGGTGTAAAGGGTACTCCATCAACACGTGCCTACGTCGAGGCCCTCACCCTATACGCGACGGTGGTGGAATCTCGATCTGACGAGACTCCGAAAAGATTACACCCAGGTACGAAACCGCTGTCGGGGCCTGCGAAGGGCTGGCACCAGTGATGAATCGCTGGAGCGGGCGGCCCGAGAGGCCAAAAAGCGCTTCCACGACACGGTGAAACGACAAAAGAAATGTCACTGGGACGAGTTTCTACAGAACACCGACAACATCTGGAAGGCGGCGAAGTACGTCTACCCCGACGGGACCGGTGGTTTCCACCGTATCCCCGGACTGACGGTCGGAGACCGATTGGTCGGCTACCTGGTCTTCTTCGGACATAACGACGATCGCCTCCAGGATGCGCTCGTTAATTTTACTACTACAATAATTGGCTTGTCAACCACCAACACATATTGCTGGAACTTCCCTAAGCTTGTCACACTTTTACATTCTCGGCGACCTCTTTCCTTATGGTAACTATATACTTAACTAGTAGCATTCGTTCGAAACGTGGCTATAGAGTATAAATTAATGCTCGATTCACTAGACCTTGCGTTAGTACGGAAATATAGCGCCATAATACGGATAAACTAAGTGGCTTATACTTTGCTTATCGATATATATCGCGCATAGAAAGGGGAGATTCCTTCTTATGGGTAAGTCGTTGACTTCAGGATCAATGTTGATAGTACCTGCTTTGAGACGCTTCTGAAAACCTATGAGAGTGGGATAAAGCCCCTGCCTATACGTGTATAGTCACTCGATAATCTTTACCCGTTGCTAGCCTTCGTGTCCGGAGTTCATTACCTAAAGCTTTCAAATGAAGATGATACGCTCATAGAAATCGAGGATAAGTCAGAGTATTCTACTACCGAAGATATTAATCAATTATTACAAGACTATAGTAGGAAGCGAGGATTAGAGAACTAAGCTAGTGAGTGACTTAATGGACTTAGAGTAGGTTCTCATAGAGAACCTCGCCTCATGGAGCAAAGCAATGCAGGATATATTTAGCACACAAGAACAAGAAACGTAGGAATACGGTGCACGTGTAAGAAAGTTCTAGCTTTGAACTTTAGGTTAGATTATATAGTATATGTCTTGCTCATTAAGGTGCTTTCACTCAGTTCTATACGCAATGCTAGTAGCGAGAGCGATAACACTTGTCCCTTAAAATCGCGTCGTCCATCGAGCCGATGACTCACTTTACCGCGATGTTGGAGCTTCCGACACCCGGGCAGAAACACAAAAAGCCCCTTGCCCTGTACGATAGCTTATTTCCTGGTTGCCGTTCTTCTTCTAAGCTTTCACTCATTCGTTCTTCTCTCACCGGTTATCCAATATCATAGCAGAATTAGGTTCGCATGCAGTATCTACAGCTCGTCTTAACCTTACTTTACTGGCTATCAGCCGTTGTCAACTTGAAACCACCGAAGCATATATCTCCCTACGCCTATTTGGTCAATACTTACGCCTTGACGCCGCTTGCTGCTACGCTTATCGCTATTGTGAAGAAACCGCTGCCCTAAGAGACTATCCATCTTTACCGAACGTCTCTTTTCCTTATCAATTTTGTGGAAGTCGGTTGAATCTTCTATTCGTTGCCGGACTATTGCTGAAAGTCCGCATAGGTCATTAAGGTATCACGGCACACTCGATATTTTTAATTCTGGCTATATTATACCTTTCTTTACGCTTGATTGGGACGTAAAATCAGTCTTGTAGCGATCTTATTCGTCTACGTAGCATTAGTCCCTATCGCCCTATTTATTTCAAGTTTTATCTAGTGAGTATCTTCCAATTATCTATCTAGGAAGAACTAAACGAGAGGGTCTAGGGACCACGGCATTACAGGACCGCTTCTATTCGCGTTCTCGGTATTCATTTCCTATCTTGTTAGAGGTGTTTAGGCGGGGTGTTTCCTAGGGTGTATGCGAAGCAAAAAGCACCCCTTTCGAGATATCCTGAATGATCTACCGAGTGGCAAAAGATGACTCTTCTCGTCGTACCCTAATCCTATACGTCTTCGTATAAATCCACTATATAAATCTATGTTATGGCATACTACTTGTGTGTATAGTCTAATACCTATAGACCGAAACCGCGCTAGTATCTAATCTATATACCACTAAGAGCAAAAGAGGTCTTACTTTCGCTTGGTACTAATTCACTCACGAGGCGGTGAGCGTCCTCATTTCGATGCCTTATATATTAAAAGAACTGATAACTACGTAAGAACTTAATTCGATCTTTCTTTATTAAATTCTTATCCCTTGAGTGCTATAGCTATTTAAATATCCATTATGAACGATTCTAGCAAGTCGAACTCGGCTCAAGCTCGATCACAAGCCTTTCTATACCTACCTCCGACTCTTTTAGATACTATTATACTAGGCTACTTAGTCTTAGCTAGCTATCTTACCGAGGCTATCGGCATCGATATCTCTTTCTACGTCTCGTTGTATACCTTGCTACTTCTTCTATAGACTAGAATACGTATTACGATTATCCCGTTTACTAAGCTATTAATATAACTCTATAGCTCGACCATCATAATTGACGAGGTCGACGAGACTTTCGACGAGGTCTTGCGGTAGTAGAGGAATCAATTATCAATGTAACGTCTTCGCACCATTTAGTTAAGGAGCTAAAATACCTATGCGGATTACGCTGAGGACTTCGGTGATAACGATCTCGTCGAAGAGTATCTTAACACTATAGTTTTCAATTTTATTACCTAAGTCGCGAGAACCCCGCTTACTTATAATCCTTATTCTTCGTTTAGCTTCTTTCTCCACAAGGGGTACTTCTTTCGTATCACTCGTGAACGTCTATAAAGTACCTATAGCCGGACGCGAGAAAACTTACGTATTATGGTGCTTTGGCTATCTACGGAGCCGAGAAAGTCTCTAATTAAAGAGGCTCGCGAATTCTACTTATCTAAATCTATATCGTATACGTTTATTCATCGACTATTAGTAGCTATGGATCAGTAGAGGAGCTATTATTGGCAAGTCGCGGCTACTCGACCGTTACGGCTAGTGTCGATAGTTACGCTCGATAATCAACTAAAAGAAGAACTTTTGTTGGATATAAATGAATTCCTCTATCCTAAGACGGCTATATAGTACGCGTACCGCGGTATTCCATATCGACGTGGCTATTTGTTCACGGGTCCGCCTAGGACGGGAAAGTCGAGCATGAGTTTCGCCTTGGCTAGTGTTTTTGGGCTCCCGATTTTCTATCTATCGCTAAGCGACTCTAGTATAACCGAGGAAGATATGAAATCGCTCTTGAATATACTTTCACCTCGGTGCATTGTTCTCCTAGAAGATATCGATTCTACTAGAGTCTCTCGGTAACGGACTTAAAGGAGTAATAAGGGGATCCCTATATCTAAGGAGTCGGTTAAGTACGTGGATTAAAAGTCGTCGGAGGATAGAGCTCCTTTAGGAGACTTACAAAGACTAAGCGATAGCAAAATCAGCTTGTCTAGCCTGCTCAACGCTATTGACGGCGTAGCGGCTGCCGAAGGCCGAGTTCTTATCATGACCACCAATTACCGTGATTAGCTGGACGAAGCCCTCGTCCGTCCTGGACGGGTAGACATGACGATTGAGTTCAGGCGAGCGAGTAAGCAGTAGATGAGGGAGTTGTTTGTCCGCATGTACCGTACTAACGCGAACATTGATAATCGACATCTTACAAAAATGAGCGACATCTTACCGAAGTCACGGTCCAACGGCGGTGACATGGATAGACATAGTGTCCAGTCTAAGCACACGGCGAACGACAACTCAACGCAAGAATTCGAGACGCCGTCCGAAGATGCGAACCTTTCGCAATTGGCAGATAGTTTCGCGGGAATGCTGCCTGGTGGCGTCTTCAGCCCAGCTCAGATTCAAGGTTTCCTTCTGACTCGCAAGAAAGATCCTGCCAAAGCTGTGCAAGATGTTACTGGCTGGCGAGATGACCAGCTTGCCAAGGAGGAATCGAAGCCATAAGGTTATAGTAGCTAGATTTGCGTGGGTCATTCAATGCCGATGCAGCATTCTTTTTTTCGATTCGATCGAAAGTGATCTGCATGTCGTGTACAATGACCGATCCTCATAGGATCTCAACCGCGGGCTCGTCATATGAAGCTTAGCAATGATGCCTTGTAGAGCCTGAGGTAATCTGAGAAACTCGTGCTCACGTGCTCCAGATATGCACCAGCCGCAGAGAGAGCAAGGGGCAGGCCGTCTAATTCTTTAACTAGCCTTATAGCGTCGGGGTCTACTTTTACTAGCGTGGTGTGTTAGCTACCGCCGAGGCGATCCGTAGCTCGAGTAGACTACGGGGATAGAATAGTGTCGGGATCCTAGTATCGGACGAAATCAACCGATCGTCCTCTTCTATATAAGGGGTAGCTTACCGTATAGTGAGATAGTCACGCCGAGAGGTAGTATAACCCTATCGCGGTAGGTATCGTCGGATCCTCTAAGGTAGTTAATATAATTATGGGTCTAGCTAGGCGCGGTTTCCTTTGTATTTCCTAGATAGCGAAGATTATCTAGATCTAAACATAGCTAGGGCTATCGTAGCCAGAGAGTTACGAGTGGAACTTAATGAATAGCGAGCTCGGAAAGGATAATGGTTATCTAGCCCTTGCTAGAGCCTAACTACCACCGGCGAGGAAGTCGCGATTACGCGATCAATGAACGACTATAGTTATCAATACCGCTATTGGTTTTACTATTCCCCTAGCTATTTTACTCGGCGTCTTCCGTAATTTAGCCTTCGCTAGATAGGCTATAGCTAAAGTTGCCGAAGCTAGAGACCGTATAGAAAGTCCGAATATACTCGGCGTACTTAGGTCGCGCCCTTAATATTCGATTATAAGAGTTATAGATAAATACATCGAGTATAGAGCGACGATAGTTTATAATAGCGTTCTCTAGCCCGTCTAGTTAGGAGTAGCTTTTATCTATCGATATCTATAGGAATCGCGTAACTCTTAGCTAGCTAGAGGACGAAGCGATAGAACTATTCCCTTAACCCCTAAGCTTATAACCTCGTTTAGGGCGGGCCGAGATATAAGTAGAGGCCAATCAAGCGATAGGCCGTATAGGGAAGTAAGCCAACGCTTCTAAGCTCTAAAGTCCTTAGGCCTTAGTATAGTTAAGTAGAGAGTATTCGAAGGGGCCGCGACGCGGATCCTAGCCGAGTCGAGTAATACCGCCCGTTTATGAAAGAGTAGTAGGCCGTAGTAGGGGAAGACGAGGGTTAAGGACGTCTCAATCGGCAATATACTATTACGCTCGTAGTTAACCCTATTATTGCCCGACTACTAGTTCAATTAGTACTAGAATATAAAGCAATTCTCCCTAAGACTTCGAAAGCAAAAATTCTAGAGCTACGAGAAAGGGCGGCTTTGGATAGAACGTTAGCGGGAAGCTAGTAGCCCTTACGGAGACGCATAATCTCTTCGTACTCTTCCGTGAATAGGCTAGCGCTATACGTAGTATCGAGTACCGGGCAGTGCTTTATCCGCTCTAGATAAGAATTTGTCCTTAGTGAAATCGTTAATCGTGTAAAACGAGTCTAGTAATAAGAAGTAGTCTTCACGACGCTCTTAAAACCCCCGGACGATATTCGTCCTAATTTAATTCGCTATCTCAGAAGGCCTCGAGGACTAAGGAGGCTCCTCTAACCCGTTGTAGCCGTAGAGAGCCCTAATTAATGCTGTTACGAGTCCTCGTGCAAGGCGACTAGACGTTAAGGACGCCTAACTAGCTGAACGGTAGAGAGACGTAAGGTGACGCCTATACGCGTGGACCTCGTTGACCGAGGGGCATTGTAGCTAGAGTAGTAAGTAAGATCAATATAGGCGTGAATACGGCTCGGTAGACGTGCCTAACTTTCTCGTTCCGAAGGACAAGGGCGGTTCGATCGTCGCAAGGCGCTAAGTGGTAAAGGGGCTTAGGGTCCGCTCTCGGCGACGATAGTAGTACGGTTACGAGCATCGCAAGATCCTTATTGCTATCGGCTGACGCTTTTCTTTTCCGGGACGATAAGGGATAAGGACGAACGGCACGATAGTCGAAGAGAAGGAGTCTCGACAAAACGGCGAGGGACGACGTCTCTTTATAGTGGGAGGGTCGTAGGGGGTCGAAGGCAAAGCGACGAGAGGCTCGACCGATCAGCACTAAACCTCGAACGGTTACGCCTTCCCCGAAGGAGCAGCCGCTAAACTCGATCGAGGGCGTTAAAGCGGCGCTATACCGTATCGACGTGAAAGCGAGCCCTTTATATCGCGACGTACTTTATTTATTATAAAATATAAAATAGGACAAATTAATATTTATATTTAATATATAACTTATTATAAGTCTTATT